TTGGATTTTCAATTTTTCGTTTTTTAAACTTTAGATTAGATATTTCTTTCAGTTGTGGAATTTTTCAATATTTCAATTTTTGGATTCCTGGATTTTTTTATTTCTCCATGTTTTACTTTTTGGATTTTCAATTTTTTGTTAAGTTCTACATTTTTCAACTTTTCGATGTTTTAATTTTTCAACTTTTAAAATTCTAGCCTTTTCGATTTCTCAAGTTTTCAGTTCTTCTATATTTCAATTTTTCGATTTTTCATCTTTTTGATTTCTCGATTTATCGAATTCAGATGTTTCCGTGTTTTGATTGTTCAATTTCTCGATTCATCAGTTTTTCAATTTTTGACTTTTCTTCTCGGCTTTCTACTCCTTGATTTCTCGATCCTCTGATTTTTCGATTTCTCGATCTCTCAGTTTTTGAATTTTTCGATGTTTGGATTTTTTGGATTTCTCGGTTTTTTGATTTTTTAGTTTTGGGCTTTCCAATTTTTCGATTTTATGAGTTTAATGTTTTAAATTTTAGATTTCTCGATTTCTCGATTTTTTAAAATTTCAGTTCTTCAGTATTTCTATTTTTCAATTTTCCATATTTTGAAGTTGCTAAATTTTCAGTTTTCCGGTTTCTCAACTAATCTATTTTTATTTTTTTTGTTTTTGTGATTTTTCAGGATTTCTATTTTTCAATTTTTCAAATTTTGACGTTGCTCAATATTCAGTTTTCCGGTTTCTCAATTAATCTATTTTTGATTTCCCTATTTCTCGACTTCAGATCTTCAATTCTTTGATTTTTCGATTTTTCTACTTTCTGTTTTGGTTTTTCGATTTCTCAATTTTCCAATTTTTTGATTTCTCAATTTCTGGATATTTCGTTCAGTTTTGGGATTTTCCAGTATTTTCGTTTTTCGACTTTTCGATTTTTCGACTTCTCGAACTATCGATTTTTCAGTTCTTCAATTCTTAGAATTTTCGATTTTTCTACTTTGCTTTTTTGGTTTTTCGATTTCTCAATTTTCCAGTTTTTTAATTTCTCAATTTTTAGATATTTCTTTCAAATTTGGGATCTTCCAGTATTTTCGTTTTTCGCTTTTCGATTTTTCGATTTTTTATTTTTTGGATTTTTAGTTTTTCGTTTTTAAACTAGATTTTTCAATTTTTCGACTGTTACTGTGTTATAATTATTTCGATTTCTCAGTTTTTCAACTTTTCGAGTTTTCAGTTCTTCTATATTTTAAATTTTGAATTTTCCAAATTTTTAAATTTTCGATTTTTCAATTTTTTGAGATGTCGACTTATCGATGTTTTGATTGTTCAATCTCTCAATTTATGAATTTTTCCATTTTTAACTTTTCGATTTTTTGATTTTGGGCTATTTCGGTTCCTCAATTTTTCGATTTTTCGACTTCTTGACTTTTGAACTCCTCGATTTTTCGATTTTTTGATTTTTCGAATTCTCGATGTCTCATTTTTTGAATTTTTCCTATTTTGGATTCTTGGATTTATCGGTTTTTCGATTTTTTACTTTTCGGCTTTTCGATTTTCCGATTTTTGAATTATCCAATTTTTTAAATTTTCAAGTTTCGATTTCTCCATTTTTCAATTTTACGATATTTTAATTCTTCAATGTTTAAATTTTAGATTTTTCCAGATTTCAGTTCTTCAATATTTTTTAATTCTTCAAATTTTAACGTTTCTGAATTTTCAGTTTTTCCATTTCTCAATTAATCTATTTTTTGATTTTCCCATTTCTCGACTTCCCAAAGTTTCGATTTTTCAGTTCTTCAACTTTTGAATTTTTCAGGTTTTTGATTTTTCAATTTTTCGGTTTTTTAAGTTTGCGATTTTTCGTCTTTGCTTTTTTGACTTTTCGATTTCCCAATTTTTCAATTTTGTAATCCGCTATTTTTGGATATTTCGTTCAATTTTGTTATTTTTTAGTTTTTTGATTTTTCAATTTTTCTTCTATTTTTTAGTTTTTCGATGTTTCGGTTTCGGAATTTTTCAGTATATATTTCGACTTTTTGATTTTTCGAGTTCTGGTTTTTTCGATTTCCCGACTTTTTACTTTTTGGATTTTCAATTTTTCGTTTTTTAAACTTCGGATTTTTCTATTTTTCGACTTTGCTTTTTTGGTTTTTCGATTTTTCAATTTTCCAATTTTTTAATTTCTTAATTTTTGTATATTTCTTTCAGTTTTGGGATTTTCCAATATTTTAATTTCTTCGACTTTTCGACTTCTGGATTTTTAAATTTTTCGACCGTTACATACATTTTTCAATTTTTTAATATCCCAATTTATGGATATTTCGTTCAATTTTTCGATATTTCAGTTTTGGGATTTTCCAATATTTCGATTTTTGGACTCCTGGATTTTTTATTTCTCGATTTTTTACTTTTTGGATTTTCAATTTATTGTTAAACTTTACATTTTTCAACTTTTCGATGTTTTAATTTTTCAACTTTTAAAATTCTAGCCTTTTCGATTTCTCGAGTTTTCAGTTCTTCTATATTTCAATTTTTCAATTTTTCGAATTTTTAAATTTTCGATTTTTCCAATTTTTCATTTCTAAAATTTTTCGATTTTTCATCTTTTTGATTTCTCGATTATCGAATTCAGATGTTTCCGTGTTTTGATTGTTCGATTTCTCGATGTCTCAGTTTTTGAATTTTTCGATGTTTGGATTTTTTGGATTTCTCGATTTTTTGAATTTTCAGTTCTTCAGTATTTCTATTTTTCAATTTTTCAAATTTTGAAGTTGCTAAATTTTCACTTTTCCGGTTTCTCAACCAATTTATTTTTATTTTTGTGATTTTTTGATGTTTCCATTTTTCCATTTTTCAATTTTGCAATATTTTGATTTTTCAATGTTTTCAATTTTAGATTTTTCGATTTTCCAGCTCCTCAAAATTTTTTAATTCTTCAAATTTTGACGTTTTTGAATTTTCCGATTTTTCAATGAATCTATTTTTTAATTTTCCCGTTTCTCGACTTCCCAAAGTTTCGATTTTTCAGTTCTTCAGTTCTTTAATTTTTCGATTTTTCAGGTTTTTTATTTTTCAATTTCTCGATTTTTTAATTCCGCAATTTTTGGATATTTCGTTCAATTTTGTGATTTTTCAGTATTTCTATTTTTCAATTTTTCAAATTTTGAGGTTGCTCAATATTCAGTTTTCCGATTTCTCAATTAATCTATTTTTGATTTTCCTATTTCTCGACTTCTCGAAGTTTAAATTTTTCAGATCTTCAATTCTTTGATTTTTCGATTTTTCTACTTTCTGTTTTTGTTTTTCGATTTCACAATTTTCCAATTTTTGGATATTTTTTTCAGTTTTGGGATTTTCCAGTATTTTGATTTCTCGGACTTTTCGACTTCTGGATTTTTAAATTTTTCGACTGTTTTATACATTTTTCAATTTTTTAATTTCCCAATTTTTGGATATTTCGTTCAATTTTTCGATATTTCAGTTTTGGGATTTTTTAGTATTTCGACTTTTCTATTTTTCGAGTTTTTCAATTTCTCAACATTTTACTTTTTGAATTTCCAATTTTTCGACTGTTTTATACTTAGATTTCTCAATTTTTCAACTTTGCGATATTCTAACTTTTCACTTTTTACAATTTTAGGTTTTTCGATTTCTCGAGTTGTCGGTTCTTCTATATTTCAATTTTTCAATTTTCGGAATTTTTAAATTTTCGATTTTCCAATTATCCGATTGTTCAATTTACAAGAAAATTGTTAGTTAAACAAAAAAATAGTTGCATGTCAAAATCGAAAGAAACATGTGAGCTGTGATATTATGTTTGTAAATAAAAGCATCTAAATAATGACTATTTCCCGCAGAACTAAACGCTTAGAGTCGACATTGGCTTGAGCGCGCTCCGGTCTGTGGATCAAACAAGTTCTCAGGCGACGTAAATAGTTTATTAAGTTGATGTTCTAATAAGTTGCGTAGATACAAAGCAGAAAAATAAAAGAATTTCTGTGACGAGTTTGAACTCGTGGTCTACAGTAGCGGTCATTTCTACGGAACCACTCGATAAAAAGTCAAGTTGGTAGCCCTGTCATCTAGTACTTTACGCCGAACGCGGTTGGTAGCGGTAGTTGACATGGCAATCGAAATTAGCACAACACGAATGTTTCGGTTGCCCTCAGCTATGCCGCACTGTATCCCATGCAGACTGTATGTTCTGTTCATCTATTTATTAAAATAAAATATCTACATTGACAATAGGGCCATCTAACCTGTCAAATTTTTGACAAATATGTTTTCCCCCAGAAACCCGTCAAGGTCACTTACACCAAACAAATTTTGAAAATTTACACTAGGGAGTGGTTCTATAGAAAAGATCGCGACTTTACAAGAGTGAAACCATTTTTAGAGTTGTCTCATTTATTAGTAAAATTAGTAAAATTCCAACTTAGTTTTAACAACGAATGACTTTCAAAACTAATGTAAAAGTAATGATATATATATATATATATCAGAAACATGCTTCAAAATTCAAAAAATATGTCAAAATATACAAAATCGCGTTAAAAACTGTATCTCTCTGTACTCACTTTTTAAATATAATTTACTCGATAAGAATGGAGATAACAATGAAGCTGATCAAGATGGCGAAGACAGTGACATGAAAACTAAGTAATCAAAATTTATTTTGACGTCCAAAGATACAGAAGACAATCGACAAAGTGGAACAAGATGAGTAACTAAACAAGTTGTCATAGTTTTCTTTAATAGCTACAATTTTCTGAACCCGTAAAAAGAGTAGATTTTGGTGTTTTCGCGACCGTAGGGTGGATGAATCAATCAAAAGTATTGGTAACAGTGATAACAGTTCTTTCCGTCATAAATTTCAGTCAGTGTACAGGTGAAATTATGTTAAACTTTCTGGACCACCCGGTACTTGACATAGCGCGTCACTGTGTATTTGTTGCATGAAACGCAATGTCAAAAGCGGCGCCCTCTGGCGCCCTTGCCAGAACTAACTTCGAGCAAGGTCAAAAACAGGAACCTGCGTCATTCCGACAGGTGACAGTTCAGCAAAACAATCAAAAAATATTTTTTTACACAAAAAACCGCAACCGAAGCTTCGTTTTCAGTTTCTAACTTAAAAAAACAACATTCTAATCGAATCGCAATAACTCGTGCCGTGTTACCACCGTGCCGTATCCTTGATCCTCCACATTGACAAACCCAGTTGTCAGTTGTCATTTTCGCTTATTTTTGTTAAATATGACATTGATTGAAGGAATAGGCGATGAAGTGACACAATTTTTTATCGCTTTATTGGTAGTCCTAGTCGGTAAGACCCCAGCTCTCCTCGATACAGCCTCACTCCACTTGACAGTTTCAGTGTCCTTCGCTTGGTGGACCACCAGCATCTCGGAACAGAGGCATGTCCAGACCGTCTGGCTGCTGGACCGACGCCGCCACCGAGCCCACCGCCGCCTCACCAACCACACGCACGCCGTCACCATAACCGAAGGTGCTCGATCGGTCGTTTTTCTAACGCAAAATTCGGCTGAGGGTAATCTTGTTGAGTTCACTTGCAACTTAGCCAGCTTCTAGCTTATAGAAACTAGTTTGGTGAATTCCGGCGGAGAAAACGTTCTTTTTGTAGGCACAACGACGGCGGCGCTCCAAGCTGACAGCCCCACGCTGGCGGCGGCGGCGAGCGCGAAGCCCCCAGAGGCCGGCACGAGCAGCTCGGACACGACGGAAAGGGGCGACGAGGATGAGAGGACGAGGATCGTGCAGGCGATGGACGACGACGCCTGCGTCCTGAGGCAGCGCCGGTTGGCGTTCTACGAGAGAAGTGGTGACAGTGGTACTGAGAATTCGGACACCAGTGATAGCAATCCAGTGGTAATGGAGCACAATTATGCAGAAGCTGCCTCCAGTGCGGAGAGCAGGGAGGCGGCGAGTGACGCAAGCAAGGCTGCCAAAGAAGAGACTGATATCAGGATCAAGCTCAAGTACATTAACGATGATCTGAAGTTGGTAGATGGGAAGCTGAAGGAACAGCTGGGGGATTTCAAGAAGTAAGGTTATGTTACATTCTTTTGGGTTTTGATCCCATCCAAACAATGCGTGACGTCATGTCTTGAAAAAACGATGTACAGGTGTTCCAGTAATTATAGCAAATGAAAATATTCCATTTTCTTTTACACGTGATAGAAAATATTAATTTGGGTATTATTTAAGAAATTTTGTTTTTATTTCCTGAGCGTAAGCCTTTTTAATTTTTCCATTTTTTGATGTTTCAGTTTCATGTTTTTTTAACCTTGGTTTATTCAATTTTTCAATCTCGATTTCCAAATTTTTGAATTTTTTGTTTCATCAATTTTCCAAGTTCTTGATTTTTATTTTTGATTATCCCGATTTTTTAATTTTAATTTTTTTTATATCACAATTTTTTGTTTTTTCATTTCCTTTATTTTTTCAATATTTCTTTCGATTTTATAGTTTTTTGTCTATTCAATTTTTCAAGTATTCAATTGTTCGATTTTCAAAATTAAAAATTTTTCAATTTTGCAATTTTTGGATTTTTCAATTATTCGATTTTTTTTAATTTTCAATATTTAGATTTTACAATATTTTATTTTTTAGATTTTTAATTTTCTCAGTTTTTGATCTCTTTCGATTTTGCAAGTTCTTCTATTTTATACTTTTTGGTTTTTTCATTTTTGATTTTACAATTTTGCAATTTTTCCATTTCTTTTTATTCCAAAAGTTGAGCAATCGAAAAATTAAAAATCGGCAAAATTTGAAAGATCGAAAAACTGAAAAATTGCAAAATCGAACAACGAAGAAACGAAAAACTGAAACATTGAAAAAGTAAAAATCGGGAAGCTTAAAAATCGAAAAAAATTAATGAAAGAATCGAAAAATTGTAAATATCGAGAAATTCAAACTTAAATTCCAAAACCCGAAATCCCAAACCCCAAATTCTAAATCCCGAATCCTAAATTCGAATATCCAATTCGAAATCGCGAGTCCTGAGTGTTAAAATATCAATGATTTCTAAATCCTGACTCTTGGCCCTCCAGGCTCGAGTCCCGAGTCCTGGAGGTTGCATCATGGATCCTCGATTCTTCCTTCTTGATCGATCTGTGGTAATTTCTGATACCTGATTCATTTTTGATATCTCATACCTGATCCTTTATCCTGGACCCTTTATCCTTTATCCTTGACCCTTTATCCTTGACTCTTGATCCTTGATTCTTCATTCTTCCTCCTTGATTCTTCGTCCTTGATCCGTCGTCCTTGATCCTTTTCCCGTGATCCTTCATCCTCGATCCTTCATCCTTGAATATACAGCTATGATTCTTCATCTTTGATTCTTCATCCTTGATCCTTGATTCTTCATCCTTGATCCTTGATTCTTCATCCTTGATCCTTGATTCTTCATCCTTGGTCCTTGATTCTTCATGCTTGATCTTTGATCCTTCATCGTTAATTATTATCCGATTTTCTGATTTTTTTGATTTTCAAAATTTCGATTTACCTATATTTTGTTCTTATCTATTTTGCACTTTTTATATTTATAAGTTTCTCAATTTTTAATTTTTTGAATTTTCAATTTTTCAAGTTCTTAAATCCCAATTTTTAAAGTTTTCATTTTATACTTTTTCGTTTTTTTTATTTTCAATTATTCAGTTTTGCAATTTTTCCTTTTTGTATTCGAAAAGTTGAAGAAACAAAAAGTGGAAAAATCGACAAACTGAAAAATCCAAAACTGAAAAATCTAAAAATTGAAAAGTCCAGGACATTGAAAAACCGAAAAATTGAATAAATAAAGAAAATGAACCGAAACGAAAAATTGAAAACTTGTGAAATTCTAAATCGAAGAATTAGAAAATTAAAAAAATCGAACAATCCTTCATCTTTGATCCTTCATCCTTAATTATCCTAATTTTCGATTTCTTTAATTTTCAAAATTTCAATTTTACAATATTTCGTTTTTTCGGTTTTGCACTTTTATAGATTTTTAAGTTTCTCAATGTTTAATTTTTCAAGTTTTTGAATCCCAATTTTTAAATTTTTCAAAATTCTCATTTTATACTTTTTCGTTTTTTTATTTTTGATTTTTCAATTTTGTAATTTTTCCTTTTTGTATCCCAAAGTAAACAAAAAAATTGAAAAATCGAAAAATCGAGAAACTGAAAAAACCAAAATTGAAAAAACGAAAAATAAAAAATTTGAAGGTTGAAAAATCGAAAAATTGAAAAATTCAGAATATTGAAAAACCGAAAAATTGAATAAATAAAGAAAATGATCGAAAATGAACTAAACGTCCTTGAGAATTCGTCCTTGATCCGTCGTCCTTAGTTTTCCGAATTTTTGATTTCTTTAATTTTCAAAATTTCAATTTTACAATACATATTTCGTTTTTTCAATTTTCCTAGAGATTTTGAAGTTTCTCAATTTTTCGATTTTTCAATTTTTCAAGTTCTTGAATCCCAATTTTTAAATTTTTCAAAATTTTCATTCAATACTTCTTCGTTTTTTTATTTTTGATTTTTCTATTTTTCAATTTTGCAATTTTTTCTTTTTGTATTCGAAAAGTTGAAAAAACAAAAAATGGAAAAGTCGACAAAGTGAAAAATCTAAAATTGAAAAAACGAAAAATAAAAAATCTAAAAGTTGAAAAATCGAAAAATTGCATATCGAAAAATTGAATAAATAAAAAAATTTACCGAAATGAAAATTTTAAAAACAAAAACTCGTGAAATTGCAAATTGAAGAATTACAAAATTTTTAGATTTTTCAGAGTTTTCATTTTATACTTTTCGTTTTTTTTATTTTTGATTTTTCAATTTTGCATTTTTCCTTTTTGTATTCGAAAAGTTGAAGAACCAAAAAATGAAAAAATCGACAAACTGAAAAATCTAAAAATTGAAAAATGCAGGACATTGAAAAACCGAAAAATTGAATAAATAAAGAAAATGAACCGAAACGAAAAATTGAAAACTCGTGAAATTCCAAACCGAAGAATTAGAAAATTAAAAAAATCGAACAATCCTTCGTCCTTGATCCTTCATCCTTGATCCGGGATCCTTCGTTCTGGATCCTTCGTCCTGGATCCTTCGTTCTTGATCCTTCGTCCTTGATCCTTCGTCCTTGATCCTTTATCCTTAATTATCCTAATTTTCGATTGCTTTAATTTTCAAAATTTCAATTTTACAATATTTCGTTTTTTCGATTTTGCACTTCTATAGATTTTAAAGTTTCTCAATTTTTAATTTTTCAAGTTCTTGAATCCCAATTTTTAAATTTTTCAAAATTTTCATTCAATACTTCTTCGTTTTTTTATTTTTGATTTTTCTATTTTTCAATTTTGCAATTTTTCCGTTTTGTATTCGAAAAGTTGAAAAAACAAAAAATAGAAAAGTCGACAAACTGAAAAATCTAAAATTGAAAAAACGGAAAATAAAAAATCTAAAAGTTGAAAAATCGAAAAATTGCATATCGAAAAATTGAATAAATAAAAAAAATTACCGAAACGAAAATTTGAAAACTCGTGAAATTGCAAATTGAAGAATTACAAAATTTTTAGATTTTTCAGAGTTTTCATTTTATACTTTTCGTTTTTTTATTTTTGATTTTTCAATTTTGCATTTTTCCTTTTTGTATTCGAAAGGTTGAAGAACCAAAAAATGTAAAAAATCGACAAACTGAAAAATCTAAAAATTGAAAAATGCAGGACATTGAAAAACCGAAAAATTGAATAAATAAAGAAAATTAACCGAAACGAAAAATTGAAAACTCGTGAAATTCCAAACCGAAGAATTAGAAAATTTAAAAAATCGAACAATCCTTCTTCCTTGATCCTTCATCCTTGATCCGGGATCCTTCGTCCTTGATCCTTTATCCTTAATTATCCTAATTTTCGATTTCTTTAATTTTCAAAATTTCAATTTTACAATATTTCGTTTTTTCGATTTTGCACTTGTATAGATTTTAGAGTTTCTCAATTTTTAATTTTTCAAGTTCTTGAATCCCAATTTTTAAATTTTTCAAAATTTTCATTTTATGCTTTTTGTTTTTTTTTTTATTTTTGATTTTTCTATTTTTCAATTTTGCAATTTTTCCTTTTTGTATTCCAAAGTAAACAAACAATTGAAAAATCGAGAAACTGAAAAATCTAAAAGAATCTGAAAGTTGAAAAATCGAAAAATTGAAAAATCCAGAACATTGAAAAATTGAAAACTCGTGAAACTGCAAATCGAAGAAGAAGAATAAAATTTAAAAATTCAAACATCAAAAAATTGGAAAATCGAAAACCTTAACAATTTTAAAATGAAAATTCGAATGTTGCAAAATTGAAGAAACAAAAGTGAAAAATTGCAAAACGAAAAATTTAAATTGAAAAAAAAATTATAAAAACGGGACATTAAAAAATCGAAAAATTGTAAAAAGAAATTAATTAAATTAAAGAATCAAAAGTTGGAAAATTGAGAATTGTTTCTAATTATAATTTTTAATTTTTTAGAGAAGCGAGATTTGTTGGTTGTACTTCAGGGGCAAGGGAAGTTCTGTCGAAATAACCTTCGACCAATTTTTTTAACTAGCTTACTTAATTAACATAATTTAGTACCAATACGTTGTTGGCAATTTTACTATGGAAATTTGTTTTTTGATCCTTTCCAAAAAATGCGTGACGGCATGTCAATATTGTTTCGTTCCTGAAAAATCCATGTTTGCTATATTAGTCAAATTAAATTAAGCCAACTTCTAAAAACGAAAAACCCTTTTCAGGCGCCATTTTCAGCCCGAGTTATCTTCCAACAAGCTCGTCCGTTTGATTTTCAACGGTCAGGTTTTGCAACAAGACAGCAAAACCCTGGAAGGTTGTGGACTTTTCGATAATTGCGTCGTCCACTGCCTCATCCACCAGCGAAGATCAACACCCGGAGAAGAAAATTCCCCAGATTCCAGAAACGAGCAACAGTCACAGTCAAATCACAATCGAAACACCAATCAAAACAATAACAATAATAACAACCAAGGCCGTGATTGGGATTTTGGTAATTTTTTATTTGCCATTATCAGTTTTACGCTGTTATCGGCATGGTACTTCAGGTACACATGTTATTTAGTAAAGTGGGTTTTGTTCGAATTTTTTATTTTCGTAGGTATGTGTATGCCCATTTATATACAGTTACGGCTACCGTAGGTCTCATTTTGATGACTGGAGTTTTTACCATCGTCCTTTTTGGGTTTTATTTTCCGGACCATGAGCCGTTGCCTCCGACCGCGCCGCCGACTCAGACTTAAGTTTTTACAGTGAATTTTTGTTCCTCAAGTATGTATAATAAATTTAATTTATAAAGTTCATATTTTCGCGTAATTTGTTGTTGATAAATGGTTATTTTATTAATAAATATTTGATTCTTTCGTAGATGCTTTCTTTTTGTCCCTAGTGTAATGTCTGCAACGAATGATAAGTTTATTAGTTGTTTTCCGCTTGAAAGTGGCTAAGACGCAATTTTTTTATGGACGAACTATACCTGCCACGCCGAGACAATCAGGATCAAGTAGGCCGCGAGCTTCCGCTTTGTCAAGCCACCCTGTATATCCCGCAGCGGAATTAATTATCCGCAGCCTAAATTTAGCTCACGCAAGTGGTATTTTCAGTGGCCACAAATTGAGTAAATTACATAATTTAGATTGCAAAAACATGCAAAGAATGCGGGATTGTTTTGATTACCTAGTGATTTTCGTTACGTCAGGTTGGCACAATCGGATCACCTCAAACGTCAAAAAGCCAATGTCTACGATGCGAACAAGAAATGGCTAATGCGAAGATAAACAATTCATTATTTTCGATTCTGATTCTGGGCTGCTTATTAGGTAACCCGTTTCGCCCATACATGCCCATTTCACCCATCAAGTGTGTTGTAGATTGCCACATAAGCGACGCTGGTGTGACTCCTGGAGCTGTACCCATCACAACAAAATGCGAGTTTTTCAACCGTACTTGTTCGGAAAAGAGCGAGGACAATTGCACCAATATCGCTGGTGTCGAGGACTGCAAGCCCCCAGAGCATGGTAAGAGGAACCACTGCTATGTGGTGTGGATGCAAGACAAAAATGGTACCGACCAAATCACGCTCAAGGTAAACAAACCATTGCGCGAAATGGACAAGTTCATGGTGAAGTTGTAGGGGTGTTTTTTGAATGACGAGCAATGCTACAACAAGACGGAGTGCGTGGGGAATAGTCGAAAGCACAAACACATGTTTTGTTGTTGCGAAGGCAACATGTGCAACGAGAAGTTCAGATGGGTCCCCAAGCCCAACACGGAGCCTCCACCCTCGAGCAGTAAGTGAAATTAAATCGAAAATGTGGCTTTGACGAGGGTTTTGCAGCACCAATGCCCATACAACACGCACAAAACGACGTCTATGTAATGGTCATGGGGTTCGTGTTCCTGGTGGTATTCCTGATTTCGGCCCTCTGCGTCGGGCTGTATTTGTGGCACAAGAAAAAATTCTACTTTAATGAAGTATGTACTCGATTTGGTTTGATTATCACGGGTTTAAAATTTTTTATTTCATGCTTGCCGCAGTGGGGAGTAAGTGCTTTTTTATTTTGTTTGTTTTTTTGCATTAAAAATTCTGTCCCAATTTTTTGTTATTGTCCTGCTTGTTTTTAATTTGCTGCTATTAGCTACTGCGACTGCGCAAAACAGTAAGTTGGTAATTGACGAATCAGAAAGCACGATGTCAAAACGTGGAAAACACGTTGCTGTTGACGCATATAAAGGTTGTTTAGGTTATGTTATAGGTTATGAACGAAATTCACACACAAGGAAAACGTTTTTTTTCCAGTGACGTTGAGAAATTATTACTTTCTGAGCTAAGTACATATAGTGATCGAGTCCATCGGGCGACTTGCCACTATCATGTTTTCTCGACGTTTCGTGACCTCTAGAGTATAAAAAATGTGATCTCTCCGTTCCGTCTGTCTGTCTGTCTGTCATCTGTATTCAATTTTATTATTATAGAGACATAATCTCCGAAACTACCGGACCGATTGTTGTCACTCACTTGGAACAAATGCATAGCAAGCTTCTTTGCATTTACTTTAACATTACATATATTTTTTTATTCTAACTTACAAGGCTTATCAAGAAAAGTTGCAAAATCAAATTCTATGTTTTTTGAACCTTCAACCAATTTTTAGATTTTTCAATTTTTCGTTCTTAATTTCCATTCTCTCAATTTTTTAATTTTCATTTTCTCGATTTTCCGATTTCTTAATTTATAATCGTATTTTACAAGACTTTTTCGATTTTGCACATTTTCGGTTTTTCAGTTTCTTTAATGTTTTCGTTTTTCATTTTGATTTTTCAATTATACAATTTTGCAACGTTTCAATATTTTTATTTGGAAAGTTGAAAAGATGAAAATAAAAAATTGGAAAAAATTTAAAAATCAAAAAATGGAAAATCGAAGAAGTGAAGAAACGAACATAAAAAAAAACAAGAAATCCGTAAATAAAAAAATCTTTATTTTAAAAAATTTAAAAATTGAAAAATCGAGAAATCGAAATAGCCAAAAATCGAGAAATTAAAACTGAAAAAATGAAAAATTTAAAATAAAAAAAATCAATAAATCGAAAAATTGAAAAATTGAAAAATGAAAAAATCTAGTAATTGAACAATCGAAAAAATGAAAAATCGGAAACTTTGAAACCCCAAAAACAAAAAAAAAAACGAAAAATCGAAAGCAGTCGGAACATCAAAAAACTGAAGTGTGAAAACATCCGGACTTAAAAAATTCAGAAATTGAAAAATTCCAAAAATTAAGATATCGAAAACTTGGAAAATCGAGATATCGAAAAATTGAAATTTTAAAAAATCGAAAAGTCGGAAAATCGAAACATCAGAAAAAGTTGAAAATCCTAGAATTAACCGTAAAATTGAAAAAGTGAAAAATTTAAAAAATTGTAATTACAAATAGTTGAAATGAAAACTAGAAAAATTGCAAATCAAAATCTGAAGAAACGATAAATTTAAAAAAAAAACGAGAAACTGAAAAATCTAAATTCGAAAAACGAAACATTTAAATATCCAAAGGTTGAAAAATCGAAAAATTGAAAACCGAAAAATTGGAAAATCCCAAAAATTGAAAAATTTCACATTGAAAAGGGGAAACTTATAAAATTAGAACATTGGAAAACCGAAAAATTGAAAAAATAGAGAAATTGAATACACAAAAAATTGAAAAAATCTAAAAATGCAAAATTTAAAAATGAAAAACAATTGAAAAGTCAAGAAAATTGAAAAAGTGAAAAATTTTAAAATTATAATCATTATATATCAATTTGAAAAGAAAACTAGAAAAATTGCAAACCAGAATCTGAAGAAACGATAAATTGGAAAATCGAGAAACTGAAAATCTAAAATTGAAAAAAGGAAACATTTAAAAATCCAAAGGTTGAAAAGTCGAAAAATTGAAAAGCGAAAAATTGCAAATCCAAAAATTAAAAAAATTCACACAAAAGGAAAGTTATAAAAACAGCGAAAACCGAAAAATTGAAAAAAGGAGAAAATGAAAAACCGAAATGAAACAATGCAAATCGAAAAATTGAAAAAAAGCAAAAAATTAAAAACTCGTGAATTGCAAATCGAAAAACTGCAAAATCTAAAAGCTGAAACTGAAAAATTGAAAACCGATAAATTTTAAAAACAAAATTCGAAGAATTGCATATCGTAAAATCGAAGAAACGAAAAATTGAAATAAAAAAAATTGTAAAATCGAAACATTGAAAAATCGAAAAATTGTAAAAATGAAGAAAATAAAAAATGGAACGAAAAATTACGAATCGAAAATTTCAATAAACGAAAAATCAAAGAATCCAAAAATTGAAAAATTAAAAATTGAACAGAAATGGAAAATTGAAAAATCGGAAACTTTAAAACCCCAAAAACAAAAAAAACGAAAAATCGAAATCTTCAAAGTCGAAAAATCGAAAGCAATCGGAACATCAAAAAACTGAAGTGTGAAAACATCCGGACTTGAAAATATCCAGAAATTGAAAAACTCCAAAAATTGAAATGTTGAAAAATTGAGAAATCGAAAACTTGGAAAATCGAGATATCGAAAAATTGAAATATTAAAAAATCAAAAAATCGGAAAATCGAAAGATCAGAAAAAGTTCAAAATCCTAGAATTAACCGTAAAATTGAAAAAGTGAAAAATTTTAAAAACTAATTACATATATGTATTTGAAATGAAAACTAGTAAAATTACAAATCAAAATCTGCAGAAACGATGAATTAAAAAAAAATCGAGAAACTGAAAAATCTAAATTCGAAAAATGAAACATTTAAATATCCAAAGGTTGAAAAATCGAAAAATTGAAAACCGAAAAATTGGAAAATCCAAAAATTGAAAAATTTCACATTGAAAAAGGGAAACTTATAAAATTAGAACATTGGAAAACCGGAAAATTGAAAAAAATAGAGAAATTGAATACACAAAAAAAAACGGGACATTGAAGATTTGCAAATCGAAAAATTGAAGAAACGAAAAATTGAAAAACTTCAAATTGGAAAAACAAAAAATTTTGAAAAAATTAGTAAAAAATCGGAACGGAAAATTGCAATCGAAAAATTAACAATTGAAAATTCAAGAAAATTGAAAAAGTGAAAAATTTTAAAATTATAATCATTACATATCGATTTGAAAAGAAAACTAGAAAAATTGCAAACCAAAATCTGAAGAAACGATAAATTGGAAAATCGAGAAACTGAAAAATCTAAAATTGAAAAAAGGAAACATTTAAAAATCCAAAGGTTGAAAAATTGAAAACCGAAAAATTGCAAATCCAAAAATTAAAAAGTTTCACACAAAAAGGGAAAATTATAAAATTAGAACACCGAACACCGAAAAATTGAAAAAAGGAGAAAATGAAAAACCGAAATGAAACAATGCAAATCAAAAAATTGAAAACTCGAAAAACTGCAAAATCTAAAAGCTGAAACTGAAAAATTGATAACTGATAAATTTTAAAAGCAAAATTTGAATAATTGCATATCGTAAAACCCAAGAAACGAAAAATTGAAATAAAAAAAATTGTAAAATCGAAACATTGAAAAATCGAAAAATTGTAAAAATGAAGAAAATAAAAAATGGAACGAAAAATTGCGAATCGAAAATTTGAATAAACGAAAAATTAAAGAATCCAAAAATTGAAAAGTTAAAAATTGAAGAGAAATGGAAAATTGAAAAATCGCAAATTGAAAAATTAAAGAAACAAAATTAGAAAAATTATTATGAAAAAATGAAAATTATAATACCGAAACATTAAAAAAATAAAGAAAATAAAAAAACGTAACGAAAATGTGCAAATCAAATTAACTAAAAAATTAAAAATTGAAATTCGAGAAAATCAAATCGAAAAATTGCAAACTCTAAACTTGAAAAATTCAAAAGTTGGAAAATCGAAAAACTGAAAAATTTAAAAATGAAAACGCGAAAAATTAAATTGAATAAACAAAAAAACGAAGAAAAATTCAAATTGAAATAAAAAGGTAAAATCGAATAATTGAAAAAATAGAAAACCGAATCGACAAGTTGGAAAATTGAAAAACTGAAAAATTTAAGCTTGAAAACTCTAAAAATTGCAAAATCTTAAAGTTGGACAATCGAAAAATTCAAAAATGGAAACTCGATCGTAAAATTGAAGAAACAAAAAAAATATGAAAAATCGGAAAATTACAAATCGAAAAAAAATGAAATTGAAAAAAAAGATTCTAAAATGTGTTTTAGGGGCGAGGGAAGTTCCGTCGAAACAACCTTTGACCAATTTTTAAATTTGTATGTGTTTTCATAAAGAATTTGTTTTTATATTAATATGAATATGTATATAATCATTTTTCTATACATACATATATTGGAGACAACGGAAAATCCCAAAATTAATAATTTACAGAAAGTTTATTCGGTGCTTTTAATAAAACTCCGAAATTTAAAAATGTACGAGAATATTTAGAGGTAATAAATGTTCACGAAGAAAAAAAATAAAAGTGATTTATTTTATGAAACAACAACCATTTAAAAAAATACACTAGGAATGGTGAAAATAAATTTTACAATTTGTACAAAAAGTGTGAATAATTAAAAAAAAAAGATAAGAAACCACACATTACCGGTTTATGTTTACAGCAACTAGTGTTTTAATGGACAATTAAAGATATCACAATTTGCACAAATTCTATTACATGTGTGATTTATGGTACACAGAAATGACCCAGGACGTTATACTCCGATATATTATAAGGTTTTAATCTGTGGTGTGACAGAAATTAATCACCTTGTATTTCAGCTTCCGACCACCGAACCCAACCCCGTCCCTCCACCCTCGCCCTTCCTCGACATGCGCCCCATCCAGCTCATCGAGATCAAAGCTCGTGGCCGCTTCGGCGCCGTCTGGAAGGCCCAATTCAAATCCGAAGAAGTTGCCGTGAAGATCTTCCCCATCCAGGACAAGCAGTCGTGGCTGTCCGAGCAGGAGATCTTCAAACTTCCCTACATGAACCACCCCAACATCCTCCAGTTCATCGGCGTGGAGAAGCACGGCGACAACCTCAAAGCCGAGTTCTGGTTGATCACGGCCTACCACGAGAAGGGCTCGCTGTGCGACTACCTCAAGGGCCACACGCTCACCTGGAACGAGCTGTGCCTGGTGGCCGAGACCATGGCTCGCGGCCTCATGCACCTGCACGAGGCCGTGCCCGGCAAGACCCCCCACGACCCCGTCAAACCTTCCATCGCGCACCGCGACTTCAAGAGCAAGAACGTGCTGCTGAAGAGCAACATGACGGCGTGCATCGCCGACTTCGGGCTGGCGCTGGTCTTCGAGTACGGCAAGTCGTGCGGAGACACGCACGGACAGGTGGGAACGAGACGGTACATGGCGCCGGAGGTGCTGGAGGGGGCCATCGACTTCAACCCGGACGCGTTCCTGAGGATCGACATGTACGCCTGCGGGCTGGTGCTGTGGGAGCTGGTGTCGCGCTGCACGGCCCAGGACGGACCCATCGGAGAGTATAGGTTGCCGTTCGAGGAGGAGGTGGGGCCGCATCCGACGCTGGAGGACATGCAGGAGTCGGTGGTGCAGAGGAAGGTGCGACCGGTTATACAGGAGCACTGGAGGCAGCATCCGGTGAGTCATCCAGTTATTATTTTTTTTTTAATTCCAGTGCATTGCAAAACTCAGATCACGTAAGTTCACGTCAGTTCGGGTCAGTTCGAGTTGAAAAAGTCATCAAGTTGGTCGCATTTTTATTTGCCGAGCGCGGCAGTACGAGGGCAGAATATTGCGCACACGCATAATTAACTAGACCAGCGATAAATAGATCTTGGGACACTTCTGCTTGAGGGTGGAAGTTGGATACCGTGGCCATAGGAGTTTTGGTAGAAAAACGGCCATCTAAGATTTTAATTGCAGTCAAAATCCTTATTATTTTTCTACAAGAAAATACCATTTCTTGTAAAGAAATAAGTATTTTGCAGTTAAGCTCCGCCCTCTTGCTTCTCGACGAATAAAAAAAATCATTACAATTGAGATAGGGTGGGTGGGCGGGCTTACATTTTGCCTCTTAGTTTTATTATGTGTAGACTTCTTTTCACAACAAGAAAACATTAAAACATGTTTAAAGTGGAAAATTTGTATAAGGAAATATCGATTTTGTAATTAAGTTCCGCCCGATAATTCTTTGCAAAAATGTATCATTTTAACCATGTTTTAAGTTTCTTGTTGTGAAAATATGGCTATGTATATTAATAAAAAAGAAAAAAGGAAAAAAAAAGGCGAAATATAAGCCCCGCCCACTCGCCCTATCTCAATTCTGATGATTCTTTTTCATTCGTCGTGAGCCGAGGGGCGGAGCTTATTTGTAAAATCCTTATTTTTCTACGAGAAATTAGCAATCGAATTATGTTCTTAAGCAATCGTCTTATTCAAAGAAAACTAAATGTAATAATTTACAAAAGAAGACCGAAAGAGAGGCCCCACCCGCCCGCCCCTATCTCAATTGTAATGAATTTTTTATTCGTTGTCAAATCGAAGGGCGGAGCTTAATTGTAAAATCTATATTTGTCTACAAAAATTTACCGTTTTAAACATGTTTTAAGTTTCTCGTTGTAAAAATAAATCTACGTGTATTACGAAAAAAAGCCAAATATAAACCCCACCCACATTTCAATTGTTATATTTTTTTTTATTCGTAGTGACGGGTGAGGGGGGGGGGGGCTTAATCGCAAAACCATTATTTCTTTACAAAAAATTACCGTGTGGAATGTTTTGAGTTTCGTATTGTTGAAAGAAAACTATGTATGTATATTAATGAAGAAAAAGAAGCCAATGATTAAGCTCCACACGCCCCTATCTCAATTGTAATGAATTTTTCATTCGTTGTCAAATCGAAAGGCGGAGTTTAATTGCAAAATCCATATTTGTCTACAAAACTTTACCATTTTAAACATATTTTATAGTAGCCTGCATAGATATTGTAGCCGTCCATAGAGTCGAAATTTGCGAATAAAAATAAAATAAAACCGGCTTAAACGGAGCCGACGACGGCTTGCAAGTTCTGTCACTACGGCACGCGTCACCTCACACAAGGGTGTATTTAAGGCTGTTTGCACAAAATCTTAGGGTCACTGTAATCTTACTATTTTCTATCTACGATAAACGATTTGTCACACAGCTACGAAACCGATGATCTAGAGAAAGATGGAAGTTTGAAAATTTATTTCAACAAGTGTAATAACCGTTTGGTGCAACACAATTGGTTCAAGCAAACTAAAATATGACAGGAAACAAACAGTCCACGTGGACTAGTTTATAGGCGTGTTTGCTGCTAAGATGACTAGGTTTTTCGCTACACCTGCCTCCGCAACGATGAATATACCATACCACAACTTGTGTACAGTGAACAGAGCTTCGATTTTATTGACGAGATTCAGCTCAGAAATTAAACAGGTTATATCACAACGGAAAAAATGACATTTAATATTAAATACGTCTCTGTGCAACGTGTGCCAGAGTGACGTCAGATTTTGCAAGCCACCGTCGGCTCCGTTTGAACCGGTTTTATTTTATTTTTATTCGCAAATTTCGACTCTATGGACGGATACAATATCTATGCAGGCTACTATAAGTATCTTGTTGTGAAAATAAGTCTACGAGTATTTCAAAAAAAAAAACTAATTATAAGCCCCTCCCACCCGCCTCCATCTTTGATCATGATTTGTTTTTATTCATCGTGTCCTGAGGGGAGGAGTTTATTAATTGCAAAATCATTATTTTTCTAATCATATTACCCTGTAAAACATGTCGTAAATATGGTGTTGAAAAAAAAACTATAAATATTAGGAAGAAACGCAATGATTAAGCCCCACCCACCCGCCCCTATCTCAATTGTGGTGAATTTTTCATTTGTTGTCAGATCGAAGGGCGGAGTTTAATTGCAAAATCCAGATTTTTCTAGAAAAATTTACCAATTTAGACATCTTGTAACTTTCTTGCTATGAAAAGCAGGCTACGTGCATTAAAAAAAAAGAAAAATATAAGCCCCGCCCACCCGCCCCTTTCTCAATTGTGATGAATTTTTCATTTGTTGTCAGATCGAAGGGCGGAGCTTAATTGCAAAGCCCAGATTTTTCTACAAATATTTTCCAATTTAGACATGTTTAAGTTTCTTGTTATGAAAAGAAGGCTAAGTGAATTAAAAAAAAGCCAAATATAAGCTCCGCCCACACGCTCACATCTCAGTTGTGATATATATTTTTGTATTAGTCGTGACCATGGAGGGGGGGGTAAGTTTAATTGCAAAATCATTATTTCTCTACAAAAAATTACCGTGTGGAATGTTTCAAGTTTCGTCTTGTTGAAAAAAAAAAACTATGTATGTATATTAAAGGAGAAAAAGAAGCCAATGATTAAATTCCACCCGCCTCGATCTCAATTGTAATGAATTTTTCATTCGTCGTGAGCCGAGGGGCGGAGCCCAATTGTAAAATTCTTATTTTTCTACGAGAAATTACCATGTGAAATATGTTCTTAAGCAATCGCCTTATTCAAAGAAAAGTAAATATAGTAATTTAAAAAAGAAGACCGAAAAAGAAGTCCCTCCCATCCGTCTCGATCTCAATCGTGATAAATTTTTCATTCGTTGTCAGAGCGAAGGGCGGAGCTTAATTACAAAATCCAGATTTTTCTACAAAAATCGACCAATTTAGACATGTTTTAAGTTTCTTGTTACGAAAAGAAGACTACATGCATTAAAAAAAGCCAAATATAAGCCCCACCCACATCTCAATTGTTTTAATTTTTTCTATTCGTAGTGACGGGTGAAGCCCCCCCCCCCCTTAATTGCAAAACCATTATTTCTTTACAAAAAAATACCGTGTGGAATGTTTTGAGTTTCGTATTGTTGAAAGAAAACTATATATGTATATTAAAGAAGAAAAAGAAGCCAATGATTAAGCTCCACACGCCCCTATCTCAATTGTAATGAATTTTTCGTTCGTTGTCAAGTCGAAAGGCGGAGTTTAATTGCAAAATCCATATTTGTCTACAAAATTTTACTTTTTCAAACATATTTTAAGTTTCTTGTTGTGAAAATAAGTCTACGTGTATTACGAAAAAAAAAAAAACTAATAATAAGCCCCTCCCACCCGCCTCCATCTCAATTGTGATGATTTGTTTTTATTCGTCGTGTCCCGAGGGGAGGAGTTTATTAATTGCAAAATCATTGTTCCTCTATACATATTACCCTGTAAAACATGTCGTAAGTATGGTGTTGTTAAAAAAAAAACTATAAATATTAGGAAGAAACGCAATGATTAAGCCCCACCCACCCGCCCCTATCACAATTGTGATGAATTTTTCATTTGTTGTCAGATCGAAGGGCGGAGCTTAATTGCAAAATCCAGATTTTTCTACAAAAATTTACCAATTTAGACATCTTGTAACTTTCTTGCTATGAAAAGCAGGCTACGTGCATTAAAAAAAAAAACAAATATAAGCCCCGCCCACCCGCTCCTATTTCAATTGTGATGAATTTTTCATTTGTTGTCAGATCGAAGGGCGGAACTTAATTGCAAAGTCCAGATTTTTCTACAAATATTTTCCAATTTAGACATGTTTAAGTTTCTTGTTATAAAAAGAAGGCTACGTGAATTAAAAAAAGCCAAATATAAGCTCCGTCCACCCGCCCACATCTCAATTGTGATAATTTTTTTTTATTAGTCGTGACCATGGGGGGGGGGTTGTTAATTGCAAAATCATTATTTCTCTACAAAAAATTACGGTGTGGAATGTTTCAAGTTTCGTATTGTTGAAAAAAAAAAAAAATGTATCTATATTGAAGGAGAAAAAGAAGCCAATGATTAAGCTCCACCCGCCTCTATCTCAATTGTAATGAATTTTTCATTTGTTGCCAGATCGAAAGGCGGAGCTTAATTGCAAAATCCAGATTTTTCTACAAAGATTTACCAATTTAGACATGTTTTAACTTTCTTACTATGAAAAGCAGGCTACGTGCATTAAAAAAAAGCCAAATATAAGCCCCGCCCACCCGCCCCTATCTCAATTGTAATAAATTTTTCATTTGTTGTCAAATCGAAGGGCGGAGCTTAATTGCAAAAGCTATATTTGTCTACAAATATTTACCATTTTAAGAATGTTTCAAGTTTCTTGTTCTGAAAAGCTATAAGTCTACGTGTATTACGAAAAAAAAAAGGCTAAATATAAATCCCGCCCACCCGCCTGCATCTTAATTGTGGTAAATTTTTTTTATTGGTCGTGACCTGGGGGGAGGAGTTTAATTATTTCTCTATAAACATTACCCTGTGAAACATGTAAGTATGGTGTTGTTGAAAAAAAAAACGATTTACATATATTAGGAAAAAACGCAATGATGAAGCCCCACCCACCCGCCCCGATTTCAATTATGATGAATTTTTCATTCGTTGTCAAATCGAAGGGCGGAGCTTAATCGCAAAAGTTTATAGGCGTTATAAACTTTTGCGATTAAGCTCCGCCCTTCGATTTTGCAAATTCAAAATAAATTGGAAAACCGAATGTTTTGCAATCTTGCAGATACATATTTTAAAGTTACGATAAGCATAATAAATTTGTAATCAAAATACATTTACTTATCTCCTCCAAAAAATTGATGACGTCATTTCAAAATTTTGCCGAATAAATCCTGTCTTAAATGTGCAAATTATGAGTCTATACTTGGGATTTATCACTGCATTAATATTTTTTAGATTTGCTTATACAGGGTGTCTCAAAAAACTAATGACTGAGTCAATTTATTATATTCATCAAATCAAGAATTGCAAAACTGAACACTTTGAAATCTTGTAGACGTTTTGAAGTTATTGCTGTGGATTAATAAAACACATGCGTTTTTCGTTACGTTTTTTTTCTATCAAAAAAACAACGCCAACTTGATGACTTTCAATTGAACACCAGTTATGTAGCCTGAAAAAAAAATCCACCACGTCGGCATAACAACGCTAATTGTATATAGCTCTAAACTTGTATTTTTGATACGCGTTGGAAAGATTGAACTCTACTAAAGTGGCATTTTACGTGGTATTGTAACGCTTACCTCAAAAATTGAAGAAAAAACAATTTCGAACTATATTCGGCAAATTGTAACCGTTCTATTTTTTTTTTCGATTTTTTTCATAATTCTACCTCAGAAAATACTTCACCCAGCCGCCACTGGTCATAATTTAACAGAAATGCCTCTTGCATATAGATGTATCCAATGAATATTTCCAACGGCAAGTTGTAGCCGTTACAAGTTTTTTTACCCTTTTGTAAAAAATCCAGCTTCTTATTTTTTTAAAGAATTCCACGCGAGAAAATACTTTTTCAAAAAAAATTCTCGAACCTTGTAGGGTATGGTAGCAATGTGCGACACAATTGAAGAATGTTGGGACCACGACGCCGAAGCCCGACTTTCGGCTTCGTGCGTAATGGAAAGGGTCATGTTACAGAAAAGATACGCACTCTCCTCATACGGAATGCGTATCGAAAACGAAACGTTACTATCACCACTCAAAGAAAACAGCATGTAGGCAGGTGAGTCCATATTTCGACCATATTCCCGCATCTACGTCCTTAGCGAAGCGACACTCTGGTTTCTCGATGTGTACGGTCGAGCGTCGATAAAAATAATTCGAAACGTCATTGACAAAAGCGGTGAAAGGTAGCGGAGCGGAGCGGACCCTTGCGCTACGCCGGGTCGAAATTGATTGTGTTGAATTTTTGATGGGTGTCGCTTTTTTCCCGAACCGTCCTACCCTTTCAGTAATTATTGAGCTAAATGAGGATTTTTTTTAGCTAGCAGTGAACACATCGTACCTGCATCGCTCTAATAAAGTACCTGGCGCCGAGCAGCCTGTGCCGTGTCTTAGTTACCACACTTGCCTATTACACAAGAGATGTATTTTTATCGCAGTTTTTCGTTTGTTTTTCCGTTTACGACAACAGTGATAGCAGTTTGTTCGTTTCATCGTTAAGATGCGGCAGTTATTTTGACGATTTCCATACCGATGTGCCAATAGAGACAGTGATTTTTCTACAGATTTTTAAAGACTGTATTTTTATTTTTAATCATCGTGTGGTGTTCGGGACGGTCAAGAACAAAAAACGGAAACAGTAGAAACACAAAATGGGGAAAAAGCAAACAATAATAAAGACGTGAAATTAAATCTATTTATAACCGAGTATTTTTTCATGTTGAAGATTTCGATTTAGGTAACTGTATGTATTAATTAGTACAAGATTCGATGTTTGGTAGAGGATGACGTAGTTTAAAAAAAAAAAAATTGTAGGAAAGTTGTTTTTGCAAGTTAACATATCGACGAGTTAGGGAGTTGTTGGGCATTCGTTGTTTTAATGCGAACTTCAAAATTTAAAGTCTAATTCAGATCGAGCGACGAATAATCGGCATCCGGTTACGTTGCGCAATTAATGTTAAGTTTGTAAAAACAAGAAACATAAATTGACTATATTTTTAATAATTGTGTGTTTAGAAGAGTAGATGAAATGTACAGACTTTGTATTTGTTGGAAATACCCAGTAGATCTGGAGAATATTTTTTAAATTGTTGCAGTTTATTTTATCTACTAACGAAAATATGACTAGCGTAAGTAAAGTGTTTCGATGTCATAAAACTTCCAGATAGAAAAGTAAATACTCACTCTTTGAAATACGTACCGAACAAGTGTCGCTTGCTTCCGTTTTCACAGCCACTAGCTCAAAGTAGATTGGTCGTAGCGCATCTAACCCAATCACTGGCAGAACGTCTTCGCGTACTTTTCGCACGGTGGTGCGCGTAAAACTTTCTCTTCGACCCACCGCGGGAAAACCAAGGACACTTGTTTCTCGAGAAAGAAACATTGGAAAACCAAAGACTGATCGGTAATTAAGGTAACTTTAATCGAGGAAATTCACAATAGACGTTTCTCAACTCGGCAGCAGCATACAGTTTTAGTCGCCGGCATCCTCAAGTGACGTATCGGGATATTTCTTGCCAACTTCCTTTTTTCTTGAACACTGCCTTTATTTTAATCCTGTTTCAACTACCTCTATTTTTACGTAGCGCGGTGCTTCATTCAAAGAAGGCTGGTTTTTCGTTGATTTTGTTTCCGAGTTAGTTTTCGCAACACATCACAGGTCGAAGATTTCTCTCGTGTACATAAAATTTTGTTGTAGAGTAACGTAGATTAAGGTGAACATATCATGATTTTGATTTATTGGTTACAAAACAATAGTGCAAATACAGTACAACATGACAGAATAGCATTCCGACTACCGATTTATAGAACGACACTTAAATTTCTGTTTTATACCAAACTACAACACAAGAGAAACTGTATAAATTATAGGGTTTACGTTATCTTATTCTAAAAGTTTTTTACATGTAGGAAATTTAGGTAATGTCTATCTATAGTTTCGTTAATTCTATTATTTGTATAGTGAATGGATTATTAAAATATTAAATACTTCAAAGGCTCTTGATACCTATCCTCCCAGTCTCCCGGCGTTCAATCTGCGGTCCGCAATGAGAGTCTCTAGTAATGATATGCTTTATTTAAATCCTAATCTTCACATTATTATGACAGAGAATGTACAAGGCCTCACCATTCCAAGTTAGAATAATACACAATTATAAAAGGCAGGTGTTACAAAAACGTGGACGTAAGAAAATCACATACAATAAAGTCAAATCAAGGAACTCTACGTCGTGGATGGCTAAATAAAATCCCGGAGCTTTGTTTTTCAGCTAACGCAGTTTTGATTATAATTGAACCTCACGAAGTTCCCGCTTTCTTTTCTCGGTTTTTTTTAAATTTGTAGGTTACATACATCAATAAAACCGTAACTAATTATGAGGGACGAATACAATTTAAGGCTAGAATACGGGACGCCGCTTGACTCGTTGCACTCAATATTTTTTCGCTTTTAACGCAGTTGCACACAATATTGTTTCACCTGAAATAAACGAGTAAAGTGGCGCCCCGTCTAGAACAACACGACTTAGTAGTCAACTCGTTTGTAGAGATATGTCAGTTAAAAAGTATGAGTATCTCTATGCACCGAAAAAAGTGTCTATGAAAAACATTCAGTCTTACTTTGTAATTTTCAACTAGCTACTTCTGCCTCAGAAAAACTCTAAACAAACGTCTCAACGAATAAATCACTCGAAACATCTACTTTTGGTCAGTTATTCGGGCTCTCCTAGAACTCTACTTACAAAAAATACAAAAATATATCACTGACATCCCTTAAGGTATTTCCGCGACCAGCTCGCAAACAACATCGAGACATTTCCGAAAGAGTACAATTTCATTACCTAGTGGAACCCTAAAGTGTATATAATACTGTCCGCGGGACGCGGCAATTTCGGCGCCACGAACTAAAACGGAAACCAAAGCGCCGAAATTGCCGCCGCCGAGTGGTATTGTCCTAGAGATGGGTACACAGGGAGAAGAGGTTTATTGTTTGTTTGGCACGACGCGGGCCCGCAGCAGCTGGACCGTCTGCTGGCTGACCGGCTCCGTCGGCGACTCGGAGTCGGAGCTGGTGCCGAAGGCCGGCGGGTTCCCGGGGACGATGAGGGCGTTGCTGCCGTTGGAGAGGTGCTCGTCGAAGGGGACGAGGCCGGTGCCGTCTGCGAACAAAAGTAAGCGAAAAAGGTAAGTAATCGGAATTTATTAATATCGTGGGGCTTCTGGTTCACTTTAGGCGGGAAAATTTGAATTCATGCGCATGCGCGGCGTCTCATTCAGTTGACTGCGCGTGGTTGTGTTCAAACAGCGTTATCAGTGCATCGTAATGGCTAAGGTTATTATGTAATAACTTTTTTTTTATTTTATTTAGTGATGAAAAGTTTAATTTTATAAAAAACCTGTACTTGATTACTGCATCGTATTCTGCTTTTTGTTCTTTCTTTCAATATGTTGGTGTGTCCCTGAAAAAATTAAAAAATCGAAATAACTATCAAATTTAAAAACAGAAAACACTGAAATGTCGATATTTGAAAATTGTTACATATATATTTTTTCAAACACTGTTTTATTTAAGTTATTGCGATTTTTCTTGAGCCCTTCCATTGGTAAAAAAATTTCGAAAATAACCTCGGTATAAATATAATATAAATATTTTATTTGCAAAAACTAAGTTACGCTTTAAAAACAGAACATCCTGTATAGTTGAGAGTAATTGTACCATATGATCCTTAAACAACTGTTCAAGTTCTAAATTTTTTAAAAAGGATGAAGCTGTAAACTTTTCAGTATGCCAGTTTTTTCCCATAAAAATGCAAATATTTTAAAATTCTTGCATGTTAGTTTTTTTTTTTCGTTTTTCTCAAAGAATTAAATCTGTAAAAGTATGAGAAAAAATTAAGTTTGCTGCGTAACCTTTAACTAGAACACCCTGTACCCACAAAGCAATAAAAAACCTGATCAAAGACAGCTGTGGATTTTTGAAAATTTGTCTTTGATAGAATTTTCGTCTTGTCAGATTACCGTGGAGTTGAAAATGTAAAAAAGTTTGTCTAAACTTTCAAAAATCTGTGGCTGTTTTTGATCGTGTTTTTTGTTGCCTCCTCGGCAGAATTGAAAATAATTGTAGTTTATAGCGGGTGATCAAAAAAAAATCAGAGTACAGTTAGCCATGGATATATTTGTCATGTCTTTGATTAAACTGCAAATGATTTTTTCACATTTGTAGTTTAATCAAAGACATGACAAATATTTCAAAAGTCGACTCTAATCTCAAAACTTTATGCCTAATATTACACGGAGGGACATAATTTTTTTCAGTAATTAGTGATAAATACGTAGTGATTTTTGGCACACCTGTATATACAGTTCAGCATATACAAAAAAAAAACTTGAAAAAGGGCAGAGGAAACAATTATCAGAATTTTTCAATGTTTCGATTTTTGATTTTTTCATTTTTCATTTAATTTTTGATTCGCAAATTTTTCATTTGGAATTATTTTTCAATTTTGATGATTTCCATTCGAATAAATTTGTTCTTTGTGTTGAAAATTTCAGCGAAAATAAAAAAAATATACTAAAAATCAAAAAGAATAATATTCTAAAGATAGATACACCCTGTACCTATGAATTTGCGTTTTTTTGTCAGATTACCGTCAATTAAGGAAGTAAGTTTGAGTCGAAAATGCATCGATCAAAGACAAACTTTCAAAAATCCATGGCCGCCTTTGATCGTGTTTTGTTACCCTCTGGGTATATATGAAAATAACTGTACATTATGTGACTAGTAGGAGTATTAGACTGATCGAAGTAATTTTTTTCAGTAATTCGCAATAAATACGCGATATTTGGGACACTCTGTATATGTAGCTCACGATACAGAAAAAGAAAACTGGAAAAAGGCCAGATATCATTATCAGATTCAGTTTTTCAATTTTTGAAAATTTCAGTTTTAATCTTAAAAAATTTCGTTTCTTAATTTTTGATTTGCAATTTTGCCATTTTTCAATGTTTCCATCTTTCGTCTTATCAATTATTTTTTTTTTGGTTTTTTAAATTTTACACTTCTACAATTTCCCGATTTCTCAATTATTCGTTTCTTGAAGATTTTAATTTTGATGAGTTTTCTAGTTCAAAATTTTAGTTCGAAAAAAATTGTTCTCTTTGTTGAAAAATTGAGAAATTAAAAATAGCTAAAATACAAAATTAAAACCCGAAAAACTAAAAACTTAAAAATTGAAAAACCGAAAAATTGTGCAATTGTGTAATTAAAAAATCGATAAATTGCTAAATTTAAAATTGAGAAGTCGAAAAATTGTAAAATAAAAATCGAAAAATGAAATAATTGAAACTTTGAGAAATGAGAAACAATAAGAACTCGATGAAAGACAGCTATGGATTTTTGAAGATTTGTCTGATAGATTTTGCGTTTTTTTGTCAGATTACCGTCAATTTGAAAGTTTGAGTCGAAAATGGATCGATCAAAGACAAACTTTCAAAAACCCATGGCCGCCTTTGATCGTGTTTTTTGTTATCCTCTGGGTATATGTGAAAATAACTGTACATTATGTGACTAGTAGGAGTATTAGACTGACGGAAGTAATTTTTTTCAGTAATTCGCAATAAATACACGATATTTGGGACACTCTGTATATGTAGCCCACGATATAGAAAAAGAAAACTAGAAAAAAGAGAGAGGAGATAATTATGAGAATTTTTCAGTTTTTCAATGTTTCATTTTTCAATTTTCTATTTTTCAGTGTTTGAATTCTACAATCGTTCGTTTTATCATTTTTCGTTTTTTAGGTTTTTTAAATTTTATAATAATTAAGCAATTTCTCGATCGGTCAATTATTCGATTTTTAAATTTTTCCATTTTTGATAATTTTCCTTTTTTGATTTTTGATTTTTTCAAAATTTTAGTTTGAATAAATTTGATCTTTTTCTTGAAAAATTCAGATTGAAAACAGCGAAAATTAAAAATTAAATCTTCAAAAACTAAAAATCAAAAAGAAAAATCTAATAATTGGAAAAGCAAAAAATTGCACCATTGTAAAATTAAAAAATCTATAAATTGCAAATAAAAAAATTGATACAACACCTTGAAGCAATAAAAACTCGATCAAAAGTAGCCATGGATTTTTGAAGATTTGTCTTTGTTGGAATTTGCGTTTTGTCAGACTACCGTCGGTTTGAAAGCTTGAACCGAAATGCAATGATCAAAGACAAACTTTCAAAAATCCATAGCTGCCTTTAATCGCGTTTTTTCATTGCCTTCTCGGTACATTTGAAAATAACTGTACATAATGTGTCTATTATTGGACTGAGGGAAGCATTTTTTTCAGTAAATGGCAATAAACGTGTGGGATTTATGGGACACTCTGTATATGTAGTTCACAATATAGAACAAGAAAACTGGAAAAAGGACAGAGGAGACAATTATGAGAATTTTCCAGTTTTTCAATGTTTCATTTTTCAATTTTCTATTTTTCAGTGTGTGAATTCTACAATTTCGTTTTTTAAGTTTTTTACATTTTACAATAATTAAGCAATTTCTCGATCGGTCAATTATTCGATTTTTGAATTTTTCAAAATTTTAGTTTGAATAAATTTGATCTTTTTGTTGAAAAATTCACAGTTGAAAACAGCGAAAATTAAAAATTAAATCTTCAAAAGCTAAAAATCAAAAAGAAAAATCTAAAAATTGGAAAAGCAAAAAACTGCGCCATTGTAAAATTAAAAAATCTATAAATTGCAAATAAAAAAATTGATACACCGCCTTGAAGCAATAAAAACTCGATCAAAAGTAGCCATGGATTTTTGAAGATTTGTCTTTGTTGGAATTTGCGTTTTCTCAGATTACCGTCGGTTTGAAAGCTTGAACCGAAATGCAAACTTTCAAAAATCCATAGCTGCCTTTAATCGCGTTTGTTCATTGCCTTCTCGGTACATTGGAAAATAACTGTACATAATGTGTCTATTATTGGACTGAGGGAAGCATTTTTTTCAGTAAATCGCAATAAACATGTGGGATTTTTGGGACACTCTGTATATATAGCTCACGATATAGAACAAGAAAACTGGAAAAAGGATAGAGGAGACAATTATGAGAATTTTCCAGTTTTTCAATGTTTCATTTTTCAATTTTGTATTTTTCAATGTTTGAATTCTACAATTTCGTTTTATCATATTTCGTTTTTTAGTTTTTTAAATTTTGCAATAATTAAGCAATTTCTCGATCGGTCAATTATTCGATTTTTGAATTTTTCCATTTTTGATAATTTTCATTTTTCGATTTTTGAATTTTTCAAAATTTTTGGTTTGAATAAATTTGATCTTTTTCGTGAAAAATTCGGAATTGAAAACAGCGAAATTTAAAAATTAAATCTTCAAAAACTAAAAATCAAAAAGAAAAATCTAAAAATTGGAAAAGCAAAAAATTGCACCATTGTAAAATTAAAAAATCTATAAATTGCAAATAAAAAAATTGATACAACACCTTGAAGCAATAAAAACTCGATCAAAAGTAGCCATGGATTTTTGATGATTTGTCTTTGTTGGAATTTGCGTTTTGTCAGATTACCGTCAGTTTGAAAGTTTGAACCGAAATGCAATGATCAAAGACAAACTTTCAAAAATCCATAGCTGCCTTTAATCGTGTTTTTTTATTGCCTTCTCGGTACATTTGAAAATAACTGTACATAATGTGTCTATTATTGGACTGAGGGAAGCATTTTTTTCAGTAAATCGCAATAAACATGTGGGATTTTTGGGACACTCTGTATATATAGCTCACGATATAGAACAAGAAAACTGGAAAAAGGACAGAGGAGACAATTATGAGAATTTGCCAGTTTTTCAATGTTTCATTTTTCAATTTTCTATTTTTCAATGTTTGAATTCTACAATTTCGTTTTATCATTTTTCGTTTTTTAGGTTTTTTAAATTTTACAATAATTAAGCAATTTCTCGATTGGTCAATTATTCGATTTTTGAATTTTTCCATTTTTGATAATTTCCGTTTTTCGATTTTTGTTTTTTTCAAAATTTTAGTTTAAATAAATTTGATCTTTTCGTTGAAAAATTCGGAATTGAAAACAGCGAAAATTAAAAATTAAATCTTCAAAAACTAACAATCAAAAAGAAAAATCTAAAAATTGTAAAAGCAAAAAATTGCGCCATTGTAAAATTAAAAAATCTATAAATTGCAGATAAAAAAATTGATACAACACCTTGAAGCAATAAAAACTCGATCAAAAGTAGCCATGGATTTTTGAAGATTTGTCTTTGTTGGAATTTGCGTTTTGTCAGATTACCGTCAGTTTGAAACCTTGAACCGAAAATGCAATTATCAAAGACTAACTTTCAAAAATCCATAGCTGCCTTTAATCGTGTTTTTTCATTGCCTTCTCGGTACATTTGAAAATAACTGTACATAATGTATCTGTTATTGGACTGAGGGAAGCATTTTTTTCAGTAAATCGCAATAAACACGTGGGATTTTGGGAACACTCTGTATATATAGCTCACGATATAGAAAAAGAAAACTGGAAAAAGACAGAGGAGACAGTTTTCAGAATTTTTCAGGTTTTCGATTTTACAATCGTTCGTTTTATGATTTTTTGTTTTTTCGCTGTTTTTAATTTTACAATAATTAAGCAATTGTCAATTTGTCAGGTATTCGATTTTTGATTATTTCCATTTTTCGAGTTTTGAATTTCTCAAAATTTTAGTTTGAATAAATTTGATCTTTTTGTCGAAAAATTGAGACATTGAAAATAAAAAATTAAAATTGAGAGTTTGAAAAACTAAAAATCAAGAAATTGTAAAACCGAAAGAACTAGGAATTGAAAACTCGAAAAATTGCAAATCAAAAAAATTATAAAATAAAAATTGGAAAATTGGATAACCGAAACGTTGTAAAATCGAAAAAATAGAGCATCTCTAAAAATTAAAAATCGGATAAATTAAACAAAATGCTCAGGCCGCATAATCAATAAATAAATAATAAAACATAATAAATCTTGATCCTGATCTTTTAAAGATTTTTAAATCTGATTAAATAAAAAAGAAATAAATGTTTAAATACGAAAGAAAGTTGAACTTATGCAGCTGCAAGTAATAAATAGTGTAAAGTGACTGTTTTTTTCTTAAATTTAATAAAATAGTGGAACAAATTAATTTATAGGAAGAATAGTTGTTTTTCCCTGCAGGACATTCACGTCAGGAAATCTAACACCTAATTAAACTTTACGTTAATTAATCCGTTAATTAACTGTTAAATGATCGTCAATAACCATAACACCAGATACCCTGACGCTCCGTCCCAATTCAGCCGCCAATAATCCAACAATGTTGCAAATTAAGACCGTGAAGAGAAATGCAAATCGCGAAATTTAATTATTATGCAAATGAATTAGGAATCGCTCTCTGATTCCATAAACGGGACAGGCGAGACTGTTTCCACCAAACTTCGATTTATACATATTATAATTAAAATTTCACGTGCTCCAAAACGTGAGCGCTAAACCGATTACAAAATCCCGAAACTAGATATGAATTATGCGACGCAGCTGACGTTCGTGTTAAATCTGACACTTTGATGGAATTCACCCTACACGACACTATCTCAGAGACGTAGAGAGTTTCCGGAAACAGGTACATATTTTTCACGAAAACTCTCCATTACACTTACAAATCTTGTTGCCGTTGCCTAGATTGACGTTATCAATCTGGTACTTGGCGGCTAGTGCTGCCAACTGGTCCGTTTCGGCCTCGTCGTCTTCTAAACTCGAGTAGCTACCAGTGGTGGCGTCGCCGTCCGAAGAACCCTTTGATTGTTTATCGCCTCGTCCTACCTCTACCTCTTCCTCTTCTTCTTCTTCCTGCGAAAGCACGAATCGGTAATTAATGGAGTTGTTCTGTTAGAGAATAATTCCCCGATAAATTTTGCTGTGTCGTGCGATGGAAGAAAACGGGAATAGTGGTATTAATTAGATTTGGGTGTTATTATTCATGACACGTGATGTTTTCCGGGGCTACGGCGCTCCATTAATTACCACGCTCGACCCAGCAAGAACTTGTAGAAAAACAGTTTTTGTACTTTTTTTTTCTTAATGGGGTACTAAATTGATTACATTTGTTTTTGTACTTGCTGGAAGGAAGTTAAGGGGTTTCTAATTGCTTTATTCCGGACGTGTTTCTAATTTTTATCGTAATACGTGATTGGTTCGCTGCATACGTTCAAAACGTATTTCGCCCGCTAATTTTAATGACAATTGGACGAAAATAGATCGCGAATTTTATAATTCATGGCGCATTTTCCGGGTTTCCACATTTCAGGCTTCAAGTCCCCGTTGAAAAGACGCCCCTGACGTTCGCGTAAGCATTTATCCCGCAAGTCGCACCATGTATTATGTACAACGTCCCTTATGAAAAGTTAATAAGTCGGAATTTGCAAATTTCCTTTGCTGCCCTTTGAAATATCGAATATTTCACAGGTTAGATGCCGCAAATAAGCCGCGACCTCTTCTGACCCTGCCGACAAAAGGTTAAAGCACACAAAGAGCAGGCCCGGCTTCGGATAGAAATGTGTTTTTTTTTTTGGTCCAGTTAGGCTTTGGCGAAAATATAGGGGTTGTAATTATGACGGTGATTTTACCTGATGCTGGTTTAGGATGTGTTTACATAGTTATTATCGTCTTTTACGGTGGCGGCTCGTGGGTGGAAGTTACGGAAGGGTACACAATTAAAGTGGATCATAAATTTTTTTTAGTCATATTATTAGCTGTAGTTCACACGTTTACTGAAATATTTGCAGCTCTTGGAGAATTTTCGACTGCTGTTTCTAGTTATTGTTTTTTCATTGAATATTATGTACCTAGGACCCGTTTTTCACAGCATGATTGACTTATAATTAAATTGTATTGTCTATAATTCAAACCAATTGTTAAAAAAATGCATGTAATTGAAGTTTGATTTATTAATTCACCTTATTATAAATAAAACACCAGGGCTCCCAAGATTCATTTAAATCCTCAAAACCAAAATAACATCCCAAGGGCTCCGATATGTTTTTTAATTCTTTCAAAAAAAAAAAAAAAAAAACAGGAGGTACCCGGAAATTCTTTAACATTTTTTTTTAAAATTAAACACCAGGGCCCCAAGATTCTTCTATTCGTATATACACAAAAGTAACTCAGGACCCCGAGATTCTTTCAATTTTTTTTCAAAAAACAAAACACTAGGGGCCGTCAAGATTCTTTTAAATTCTTTAACAAAGATCTCTAATTTTTTAAAAAAATTTTTCAGAAAAGAAAACGCCAAGAACCCTCGAGATTCTTACAGTTTTTAGCAAAAAAATAAAGCGCCAGAGGTCCACAAGATTTTTTTAATCCTAGAAAAGAAAACTCGAGACCTCGCGATTTTAAAATTATTTTCAAAAAACTACCCCAAGGACCCCGAATTTTGTTACAAATTAAAAAAAAAAGATTCTTTTGAATCCTTTAAGGCACTCGGAATCTCGAGATTCTTTCAATTTTTTTCCATAAAATAAAACACCAGGTCTCCAAGCTTTTTAATTCTTGAAAAAAAAAAGCCGGCACACTCAGATTATTTAATGTTTTTCAAAAATCAAACCACCAGGGGCCGAGTTCTTTCAATTTAAAAGAAACAACGTGACCATCTTTAATTAAAAAAAAAAAACGTTTCTCCATACCCGAAATTGTTTAAAATTTTTCTTTAAAAAAAAAGATACTCAACACCCGAGATTCTTCAAACTTTTTCAAGAAACAAAACAACAGGTTTGTTTCTTTTAAATTCTTAAAAAAAGATACTCGGCGCCATGAAATTTTTTCAAATTTTTTCACAAAACCATTTTTTTTCAAAAAAACAGCCCCCCAAGAGTCTTTTATTTTTTTTTTAAGACTCGGGACATCCAGAGATGTTCTTTTAAATTCTTAAAGAAAAGACAGTCGAGATTTTTTCATTTTTTTTCAAAAAACAAAACTCCCCATTTTTTTCCAAAAATAAATATCAAATTTACCAAAATTCTTTTAAATTATTAAAAAAGACACTCGATACCTCCGGAGTTTTTCAAATTTTTCAAAAAAAACCAAGGACCTCCGAGATTTATTAATAATCTGTCGAAAATGGACACTCGGAATGAGATTCTTATAATTTTTTGAAAAAATAAAACACGCTGGCCCCTATAATTTTTTTAAATCTGATAAGTAGATCACTTGGGACCTGGGGATCTTTTAAATTTTTTTCAAAAAGTAACGTCAAATTAACTTAAAAAAAAGCACTCGAGACCCCGAGATATTTAAAATTTTTTTTAGAAAGTAAAAGCAAACATTTTTTCCAAAAATAAATACTAGGAGCCACCAAGATTCTTTTAAATGATTAAAAAAAGACACTCGGAACACTGAGATTCTTTTATTATTTTTTTTGAAAATCTAAAATCCCGATTGTCCGGTTTTAATGCTCCAAAATTCTTTTAAATTATTAACAAAAAGGCATTCGGTGTCCCTTAGGAGTTTTTCAAATTAAAAAAAATAAATAAATAAAAAAATAAGAACCTCCGAGATGTTGTAACAATCAGTCAAAAATGGACATTCGGAGCGAGATTCTAATTTTTTTGAAAAAATAAAACAACGGTGGCCCCTTTGATTTTTTTAATCCTATAAGAAAATCACTCGAGACCTTTTGATCTTTTAAATTTTTTTCAAAAAATAACGGCAGAGCCCTCTAAAATCCTTTTAATTAAAAAAAAGGCACTCGAGACCCCGAGATTTTTTCAATATTCTTCAGAAAATAACATTTTTTCCACTGAGATTATTTTTTTGAAAAACAAAAACCCGATTGTCCGCAAGCTTTATTTTAATCTTATAAGAAAATCACTCGGTACCATGAGATTTTTTCAATTTTTTTTTCAAAAAAATATGTCAGATCGCAAATGTTTTTAATTTTTTTCAAAAAACGAACACCAAGGGGTCAATTCTGTTAAATTCTTAAAAAAAGGCTTGTGATCTTAAGATTTTTTTTCAAAAAACAATCGTCCCCAGGATTCTTTTAAATACTTAAAAAAGACACTCGGAGCCCCGAGAATTTTTCAAATTTTTTTCAATAAACAAAATTCCAAAGATACCCAAGATTTTTTAAAATTCTGTCAAGAAAAAATACTCGGAACTTGGAGATTTTTAAAATATTGTTCAAAAAACAACGTCAGGGGCCCTAAGATTATTATTTTTTTTTTAAGACTCGGGAACTCGAGAGAGATTCTTTTAAATTCTTAAAAACCACACTCGAACTTCCGAGAGTTTTCCAAATTTTTTCAGAAAACAAAAACCTCCATTTTTTCCAAAAATAAATATCAAGGGCCACCAAAATTCTTTTTTGATTAAAAAAAGACACTTAGAACCTTTCGAGAGTTTTCCAAATTTTTTCAAAAAAAGAAAACTCCAAGAAGCCCCGAGATTTTTTAAAATTCTGTCAAAAAAGGACATTCGGAACACCGTGATTCTTATAACATAATTAAAAGTAAATAAATAAATAAAACGTCGATGGTTCCAGACATTTTTTTTAATCTTATAAGAAAATCACTCGGGACCTGAATATTTTTTAATTTTTTTTTGAGACTCAAGACTCCAAGATTCTTTAAAATTTTTTTAAAAAACGAAACACCAAAGAAGGCTTGGGATCTCAAGATTTTTTTTCAAAAAACAATACCAATTGGAACTCCGTGATTTTAGCAAATTTTGTCAAAAAACGTAATGCCAAAGGACCCCCAAGATTTTTTTTGATTTCTTAAAAAAAAATTTGGAACGCCGAAATTTTTCAAATTTTGTCAAGAAACAAAACAATTGTCCCCAAGATTCTTTTAAATTCTTAAAAAGACCCTTGGGGCCCTGAAAATTTTTCAAAAAATAACTAAAGACCCCCAGGATTTTTTAAAATTCCGTGAAAAAAGAATACTCGGAACCCGGAGATTTTAAAAATATTTTTCAAGAAAGGGGTCCTAAGAGTCTTTATTAATTTTTTTTTTTTAAGAATCGCGGAGCCGAGAGAGATCCTTTTAAATTCTTAAAGAAAGACAAAAACCTCTATTTTTTCCAAAAATAAATATTAAGGGCTACCAAAATTCATTTAAATGTGGAATCCTCAATCTTCAAAACATTCAGAGTCTTCAGAATGCCCAGAATCTTTAGAATTTATGTCTAGAGTCTCGAAATATTCGGAATCTTCAAAGTTCAAAATTTTTGGAATCTTCAGTCTTGAACTATTCGGAGTCTTTAGAATCTTTAGAATTTTTAGAAGCGTTAAAATCTTTCTAATTCCGGAATATCCGAAATCTTTAGAATTTCTGGTATTTCTATAATCTTTGAAATTTTCTTTCAGTCTTTGGATTTCTTCGAATCTACGTTCTTCGAAATATTCAGGATCTTGAAAATCCTCAAATCTTTAGAATCATTAAATCAAAATCAAGTCTTAGAAATCTTTATGATCTTTAGAATCTCCGGAATCTTTAAAGTTTTCAAATTTTTTGGAATCTTCAGAATTTTTACTCTTTATTGGAACTTTTGACATCTTTATAGTCTTCAGATTTTTCAGAATATCCAGAACCTCTAAATCTTTCGAATGTTTAGAATCTCTGGAATCTATAGTTTCGGGATATCCGATTTTTTTGAAATTTCTGGAATTTATAGAATCTTTGAAATCGTTATTATCTTCAGAACATTTGGAATTTTCTTTCAGTCATCAGATTTCTTCCAATCTTCAGTGTTCGAAATATTCAGGGTATTGAAAATCCTCAGAATCTTTAAAATCTATGTCTAGAGTTTCGGAATATTTGGAATCTCTTAAATCTTAGAAATTTTTAAGATCTTTAGAATCTACGGAATCTTCAAAGTTTTCAAATTTTTTGGGATTGTCGGTCTTAAAACTGTTCAGAATCTTCAGACTCTTCAGAATCGTTGGAATTTTTAGAATCTTTACAAGTTTTACGATCGTTAAAATCTTTTTAATATCGGAGGGTGGGTGGGTGGGGCTAGTACCTGCTAAGACAAGGCTGATATTGGCAAATGAGGTACCCCTAAAAATAGAGAGGGTGGGTGGGTACCTGCTAAGATAAGACTGATATTGGCAAATTACCGACTCTCCAAAAAAATGAAGGGTAGAGGGTATATCGTCTGTCAAAATCAGTCTTATCTTGGCAAGTATTGGCCCCGTCCACCCACCCTTTATTTTCTTCAAGGATATGCCATTTTGGCAATATCAGTTTTATCTTAGGAAGTACTAAGAGACTCTAAACCATCCGAGAGTTTTCCAATTTTTTTTTCAAAAAACAAAACTAGGAGCCCCGAGGTTTTTTAAAATTCTGTCAAAAAAGGATCCTCAGAGCACCGTGATTCTTATAATTAAAAATAAATAAATCATAAATAAAAATTTTTCAGATTCTTAAAATTCTGCGAGAAAAAGGGCACTCCGGACGAGATGTTCGAAATATTTTTCAAAAAATAAGGCCAAGGGCTCCAAAATTCAAACATTTTTTTTAAGACTCGGGAACCCGAGATTTTTACAAATTATTTCAAAAAACAAAACGCCAGGACCTCCAAGTAATTTTTATTCCTATAAAAAAGATACTCGAGACCCCGAGATTCTTCCAAATTTTTGCAAAAAATAAAAACCAAGGTGCTCTAAGATTCTTTTAAATTCTTAAGAAAAAACACTCGGGAACCCAAGATCTTTTCAAATTTTTTCAAAAAATGGAATACCAGGAGCCTCCAAGTTTTTCTCTGTTCTAAAAAAAGACACTCAGAACCACGAAATTTCTTTCAATTTTTTTATTTATTTTTTGACGTCCTAGGTTTGACAAATAGGATTATGAGGCGATGTATAAACTGATACTTACTCCTTTAGTAGGACGATCCTGCGTTTTGAAAAGTTCTCAAAATCTCTCATCATGTACTCAATTAAAATCAATTAAACTTTTAATTATGTTGGCGAATACCACGGCGATATGAATCCTCTAACTCTTCCCGATTTTTTTTTTATTTTTACGTCAGGAGCCGCCCCTGAACTTCAAAAACTCAATAAAATTTGTCTGGATACAATACAGCAACTTAATAAGTTTTATTTAATTTTCTCATCCGTGTTGAAAAAAAACTTTATTATTTGAATTCTGTCGTCAAGGGACTCCGCCAACACATTTTCCCAAAAAAATAGCAATAACCGCCTTTTAACTCCTCCCGTTATTAAGCGCCAGCCCGCCCCTGCCTCCATCGTCCGAAATTTCCCGCCGGCCCGGAATTTTCCCACTTTAATCCCCTATTCACACAAGTCGAAGTGGAAACAATGGAATAATAATCGAGCTTTATCTCCGACTCACCTCCTGTCCCTCGCTACTCTCCTCCGAGCTGCTGCTGCTATCCGAGTCCGAGCTGCTGCTGGACGAGCTATTATCCTCCTCCTCCTCTTCGCTATCGTTGCTACTCCCATCCTCCAGGTTGCCTTCACAGGTGCAACAATCGCTTTTATTATGCAAATTTACCCCTCAACGCACAAATACTCACTTTGCTTGAGCTTTTCGAGGATCAGCGGATAGAACTCTTTGGCGGTGGCATTGTTGGGCTCGTATTGTAGTACTGCGAAGAAAAAAAGACGAAAAAGCGATTGATAGTGGGATCGACGAGCTTAGCATTTATTAAATTATGAGAGCGAAAGCGGGCGAAATTGGACCGGGCGCTTAGTGCTCGCACCGCAGTGGCGGCGGCAGCTCCGGCCTCCCGGGGGAGGCGTGTGTTGGCGGTCGTTGCTTAAAATTTAACGAGGGGGCCGGGATTGTGATACGTCGGCGATGCTTCCGTGGGTTTGTATCATCAAATAAGGGAGAAAGTGGGCTAATGTTTGCCGGAATTTATGTAGGGTGTACAGCCCGTGGCAAAAGTATGATTACGAAGTGTCATTCTTTTTTATGAAAGGGTTCGTGTTTTGTGTCGCACAAAGTAATTTTAAAATCGTTGATGAAAACGCTGAAAGAAACAGGACCTGGACTGGCCCCTGGACGACGATAGTTTTATTAAAATCGTGGAACTAAATCGGAGCTACAAGCAACAGCTTCCCGTGTTTAAAATCGTGATTAATTGTGCTACGTATTAATTTTACCGCGAAGTTCTAAATTATAATTGCATTTAAGTTGAAAATCCCCGTAATGGGGTAAATACTTACTCAGTTTGCAGTACTTTAATGCAGTTACGTAGTCTTTCAGCATCACAGCTGATAGGAACTGAAACAAGAAAATAACTTTAGTTCTAGTCGATTTCATCGTAATTTAGTAAAGATTTTATAACTTCGGGCTTTAGAGAAATTGTGCTGTCTCCTATATTGATTTTGTAAACGTTATTATGCGCCTTTATATACTTATTAAAATATTCCAGATCCATGAAAATTTCTCGAGAATATTGAATAAATATAAAGAATGAGATTATGGAATGCGATGTTATCTTAAAATTAAATTTGATAAGTAAATTGGTTTAGTTACCCCTCCAGGAAAGTGATGACGTCGTACTAAAAAATTATTAAGCGCTCACCAAACTTTAATAAATAAAGCCACTCTCCACATACAAGCACGATTCCTGTTTATTTTTAACCAAAGTTCAACCCCCAAAAGGCATCCCTGCGGACGCATCGTTCCACAACGATTAAACATCCCTTAAAATAACGAGACTGAACAACTACCCTTAAGTAAATTAAAACAACGGCAATTTTCCAAAATTCCAGCCCCGCTATAATTTTCTTATCCTTCAATTATTAGGGCTTCAAACATGTAATGAAACAATTTCAGTCGTTGAATGGTAGGCAAATTGGCCAACCTACCCTATAACTGTTGTTTTAATTAAATTTCGAGGGTTAGATGGGAATACACCGCGACAAATCACCAGATTCATTTAATTAAAAAGCAGAATTTAATTTAAAAAATCTCGCGACCAATATTCCGTTCGGCCAATATTTAACTGACATTTTCTAGAGAATTCCGCTAAAAATACATTTATACGGGAGATTTGTTCGTCAAAAGTCGAGTTCAAACCCCTGTCGAGCCGAAATCACTTCGAATAACACAGAGGCTGTTTTGAAAGCGTTTTATCAAATGGGTGGATGTTTTGAAAGGTTTCATTTATCGCAACTTCAGGTCATTAATCTTAAACGGGAGCCGTGAAACAATAGATTTTTATAGTGCGGTGGAAGGGGTGGGGTGTGCTTTAATATTTTTCATTTTGGCGGGCTGGGTGCAAGTACGTGAAAAATGACACGAGATATTGACGTTTATTTAAGGTATTTTACTTCGTGAGCTAGGTTTTGTTTTCCCGACGTTTCATGACCTCTAGAGGGCGAAAAAATAGGACTCCCGTTTCCGTCCTTCTGTCTGTTTGCCTGTCTGTCGTCTGTCTGAATTTTTATTATTTCAATTTTATAAAAGAAAATACTTCTTCACATGTGGTTTATGAATCCAGTTCAGTTTTACTCTAGACATCCAGGTTTTTGGAAACAAAATCAAAATTGCATTTTAACTGTAAAACTGCAAAACCGAATGCTCTGAAATCTTACAAACGTTCTAAGCTTAACTTCATTATAGTAAATCGTTCATCAAAATTTCATAAAATCTAAAATTTGCAAAATCAAATTTTATAATTTTTTTAAAAATCTGGATTTATTTACCTTCCACAAATTTTTTGCTATCACCATTTTTCATATTTTCTTTTTTTATGTCACAATTTTTCGTTTCTTCAATTTTTTAATTTTTTCATTTCCTCAATTTTAATTTTTCATTCTCCGGATTTTTAATTTTCATTTTCTCGATTTTATATCGTAATTTTTCGTTTAGTTATTTTTCAAAATTTTCAATCTGTGATTTTTTGATTCCTCGATTTTCCAAATTAAAAATTTTTTAATTTTGCAACTTTTGGATTTCTCAATGATCCGATTTTCCGATTTTATTTTAATTTTCAATATTTCCATTTTACAATATTTCCTTTCTTCGATTTTACACTTTTTCGATTTTTTAGTATCCCAATTTTTAATTTTTCCATTTTTTAATGTTTCGGTTTCATGATTTTTCGTTTTTCCAATTTTTCGCTTTGCACTTGTTCAATTCTGCAATTTTTCATTTTTCGATTTTCGGTTTCTAAATTTTTAGTTTTTTGATTTTTCAATTTTTTATTTCGTCAATTTTTCAAGTTCTTGACTTATATTTTTTATTTTCCCGATTTTTTAATTTTCGTTTTCTCGATTTTACATCGTAATTTTTCGTTTATTCGTTTTCAAAATTTTCAATCTTTGATTTTTGATTCCTCGATTTTCCAAATAAAAGAATTTTCAAATTTGCAATTTTCGGATTTCTGAAAGATCCGATTTTCCAATTGCTTTAATTTTTAATATTTCGTTTTTTCGATTTTTTAGTTTCCCAATTTTTAATTTTTCCATTTTTCAATGTTTCGGTTTCATAATTTTTCGTTCCTTCAACTTTAATTTTTTCAGTTTTGCAATTTTTAATTTTTTTAATTTTTCACTTTGCAGTTGTTCAATTGTCATTTTTCGAAAATACAATTTTTCATTTTTCGATTTTTAGTTTCACAATTTTTAATTTTTTGATTATTCAATTTTTCATTTCCTCAATTTCTCAGGTCCTTGACTTTTATTTTTAATTTTCCCGAGTTTCTAATTTTCATTTTCTCGATTTTATATCGTAATTTTTCGTTTTAATTCAATTTGTAAAATCTTCAATCTTATATTTTTCAATTCCTCGGTTTTCCAAATGAAAAATTTTTCAATTTTGCAATTTTCGGATTTCTCAATGATTCGATTTTCCGATTTCTTTAATTTTCAATATTTCAATGTTAAAAGATTTCGTTTTTTCGATTTTACAGTTTTTCGATTTTTTGTTTTCCAATGTTTAATTTTTCCATTTTTTAATGTTTCGGTTTCATGATTTTTCGTTTTTTCAATTTTTCGCTTTGCAATTGTTCATTCTGCAATTTTCCATTTTTCGATTTTCGGTTTCTTAATTTTTAGTTTTTTGATATTTCAGTTTTTCATTTCCTCAATTTTTCAAGTTCTTGAGTTGTATTTTTTTCCCGATTTTTTAATTTTCATTTTCTCGATTTTACGTCGTAATTTTTCATTTATTCATTTTCAAGACTTTCAATCTTTGATTTTTTGATTCCTCGGTTTTCCATATTAAAAAAATTTTTGAATTTTGCAACTTTTGGATTTCTCAATGATCCGATTTTCCGATTTTTATTTTAATTTTCAATATTTCCATTTTACAATATGTAATTCGTTTTCTCAATTTTAATTTTTTCAATTTTTCACTTTACAATTATTCAATTCTGCAATTTTTCATTTTTCTATTTTCGGTTTGTCAATTTTTAGTTTTTTGATTTTTCAGTTTTTCATTTCCTCAATTTTTCAAGTTCTTGAGTTGTATTTTTTATTTTCCCGATTTTTTAATTTTCATTTTCTCGATTTTACATCGTAATTTTTCGTTTTTTCATTTTTACCAAAATTTTCAATCTTTGATTTTTTGATTCCTCGGTTTTCCAAATAAAAAATTTTCAAATTTGCAATTTTTGGATTTCTCAAAGATCCGATTTTCCAATTGTTTTAATTTTTATTATTTCGTTTTTTCGAATTTTTAGTTTCCCAATTTTTAATTTTTCCATTTATCAATGTTTCGGTTTAATAATTTTTCGTTCTTTCAACTTTAATTTTTTCAGTTTTTCTATTTTTAATTTTTTTAATTTTTCACTTTGCAGTTGTTCAATTCTGCCATTTTTCGAAATTACAATTTTTCATTTTTGGATTTTCAGTTTCACAATTTTTAATTTTTTGATTTTTCAATTTTTTATTTCCTCAATTTCTCAGGTCCTTGACTTTTATTTCTAATTTTCCCGAGTTTCTAATTTTCATTTTCTCGATTTTATATCGTAATTTTTCGTTTTTATTCAATTTTTAAAATCTTCAATCTTATATTTTCCAATTCCTCGGTTTTCCAAATTAAAAATTTTTCAATTTTGCAATTTTTGGATTTCTCAATGATCCAATTTTCCGATTTCCTTAATTTTCAATATTTCAATTTTAGAAGATTTCTTTCTTTCGATTTTGCAGTTTTTCGATTTTTTTGTTTCCCAATTTTTAATTTTTCCATTTTTTAATGTTTCGGTTTCATGATTTTTCGTTTTTCCAATTTTTCGCTTTACAATTGTTCAATTTTGCAATTTTTCATTTTTCGATTTTCGGTTTCTCAATTTTTAGTTGTTTGATTTTTCAGTTTTTCATTTCCTCAATTTTTCAAGTTCTTGAGTTGTATTTTTTACTTTTCCGATTTTTTTATTTTCATTTTCTTGATTTTACATCGTAATTTTTCGTTTATTCATTTTCAAAATTTTCAATATTTCATTTTTTGATTCCTCGGTTTTCCAAATAAAAAATTTTCAAATTTGCAATTTTTGGATTTCTCAAAGATCCGATTTTCCAATTGCTTTAATTTTTATTATTTCGTTTTTTCGAATTTTTAGTTTCCCAATTTTTAATTTTTCCATTTTTCAATGTTTCGGTTTCATAATTTTTCGTTGTTTCAACTTTAATTTTTTCAGTTTTTCACTTTTTCACTTTCTCAATTTTTCAAGTTCTTGACTTTTATTTTTTATCTTCCCGATTTTTTAATTTTCATTTTCTCGATTTTATATCGTAATTTTTCGGTTCTATTCAATTTTTGAAATTTTCTATCTGTTATTTTTCAATTCCTCGGTTTTCCAAATTAAAAATTTTTCAATTTTGCAATTTTTGGATTTCTCAATGATCCAATTTTCCGATTTCTTTAATTTTAAATATTTCAATTTTAGGATATTATTAGATTTTACAGTTTTTCGATTTTTTTGTTTCCCAATTTTTACTTTTTCCGTTTTTCAATGTTTCAGGTTCATAATTTTTCGTTCTGTCAACTTTAATTTTTTCAATTTTTCGTTTTGCAATTGTTCAATTCTGCAATTTTCCGAAATACAATTTTTCATTTTTCGATTTTCAGTTTCTCGATTTTATATTGGAATTTTTCGTTTATTCAATTTTTCAAATTTTCAATTCCTCGATTTTTCATATTAAAAATGTTTCAATTTCACACCGATTTTCCGATTTCTTTAATATTTAATATCTCCATTTTCACAATATTTCGTTTTTTTGATTTTGCACTTTTTCGATCTTGATTTTGAATCTTCCTATTTTTCAATTATTTGTTTCTTTAGTTTTTCGAGTGCCTGATTTCCAATTTTTAGATTTTTCAAAGTTTTACACTTTTTCGTTTTTTCATGTTTAATTTTTCAATTTTATAGTTTTGCAATTTTTTCATTTTTTGGTTCCATCGAGAAACTTAAAAATCGAAAAAAATTAACGAATGGAATATACACGTAAAAGTTGGAAAACCCAAAAATTGTAAAATCGAGGAATTATGGACTCAATTTTGACTATAACACTGAAAGATTGAAACTCAAAGAACTGAAAAGTTTCACATTGAAAAAAAGAAATAACGACAAAATTAGAACTTTAATAAAGAAAAATTGAAAATTGAAAACTCGTGAAACTGCAAATCAACATTATAACTGAAATATCCAAACGTTGGAAATTCGAAAATTTGAAAAATTGAAGAAACGAAACATAAACATAAAATCTGAACACTGTAAAAATAAAGAAAATAAAAAATCGAAACGAAAAACTGCAAATCGAAAATAGAATAAACGGAAATTTGAAAAAATGAAAAACCCAACAAGTTTGAAAACTGAAAAACTGAAGAAACAAGAAAATGCAAAATTGAAGAACTGAAAATCGCAAACATTTTTATAATTTTTCAAAGAAGCGGGATTTGTTGGTTTTTACTTCAGGGGCGAACGCAGCTCTGTCCAAATAACTTTGTTATAATAAATTTGTTATTTTCAGCGATACGCAATGTTTTTAAATGGAAACCCGTTAGCACAGCCATTAGCATCTTTATCACTTTATCACTCTGTATATAATTATCCTGCGAGGTAGCCGGCCGAGATGGATCTGATTAAAGTCCGGAAGTAATCAAAGCGGAAAGTCGCTACGGGAAATTGGACAGTTTTCCTCCCCTCCACGCCCCGAAAAAATTATCGCCGGAAAATTAACGTGCGACTTCAAAAGGCCGCCTCATTAAGGCTAAATTAATTATGGAACGAAGCAATCAGCTTGGCGTTTTCGTGCAAAAAAAGCCATTAGCAAGCGTGAAAGAATTACGCCGCGTCAAAACAGAAATGAAGGCATTATCCAGACGGCCCCTAATAGAAAAAAAATTGTATAGATGCGGTTGGAAAAGTGCCAAGTCCAAAGAGGATTATGCGAAGTCAGTCGACTTTGACGTGTGTATTAGGTGAAGGCTTGCCCTAGATTCGACATGAAGTAAACATAACATATTGACTAAAGTGTACACTTTTCGGTGCTGCGGGGATGATAACACGCACACTCATCTACTAACCTCTGCTAGAAATTCGGTGGGGGCTGAAATGCTCTCATCGGCGTCAGTGTACTCGCTCAGATCTTCATTACTGCTAGACGTTGGTTTCAGTAAACCCACATTTCCATTATCCTCAGTGGTCATGATGGTGGAAGTTCTGGAATAGAATTCAGTTGACAAAATTAGTTTCATTTAGTGAATGAAACCAACAGAGTGTGAAGTCTAAGGTGGTTTTGTTTCTGGAGCGACCCTCGCTATAGCGCAGTTACATAAATCACCCCAATTATAAAAATATCGAGTCACTTTCGGCTTGACGGGAACAAGAATGGACAAAACTCATGAATATGAACTCGAAATTATTAAATTTATGGATGAATATTCATAATGCTGGACATGACTGCGCAAAAATTCGTGTTGTTCATTTGCGTGAAATACGGTTAGCGGCTTGCGGTTATTTATGATGTTTGGATGCATTTTTTAAACTCGTGCGTGCGGTAAATAAAGGCGAATTTTGATGCGCTGAATGGGAGAAAGTTAGTCGAAATCTGCTGCGTTAAAAATTTAATGAAATCGGCGAACAAGAGAAATTATGCATAATAAACTGGCTTTAATTGAAGACGATTGCGAACGAAATAATTGGGGTTATTTTCTCTACATTCATCAAATGACTGTGTATTTGTGCGAGATGTACATAGATTTACTGTTATTTCGTTGTATTGTTAAAGTAATCTATTATATCCATCAATCTGCTATCGATCATAAAATTGCCTGTTTTATTAGTGCCTTCTGGCTCTGATCGTAACTTTTTATAGAGCTCGTTAAGAAAATGTCCGAACTTTGATGGGTTAATCTCAATCAGACAATTCTGCTTAATAAGTTCGTACTAAAAAATTTAAAGACTTTTTTTACACGTGACTGAATGGGAAATTTCGGGAGCAATAATTCTGAAAAAAATGCTGGAAATAAGATAAAAATCTCTCTTGGTTTTGACGTATTTCTCAATTATTGAATTTTTCAAAAATTCTAAAAATACTTCAGATGCTTCACTCTCATCGCTCTTTAGCTAATTTTCGAAAGTGCTCTCAAAAAAGTTAGGGATATAGATCCCAACGCGCTGAATGTAAAAACAGCCTTAATTGATGGTCCCGGACCATAATTTTCAAAATTTTCGGCTTGAAAGTCATTTTTTAAAAATCGTAAAAATCGCCAAATTTCATATTGGCGATTCTGGCAAAATCGTTGGAATTTTCGACAGAATGAAAACGAAAATAACTTGTGGAGCTCAAAATCTACCAACAAATCTCAACAATTTTGGAAAATCCAAAAACATAGCCTAGGCTACGATTTTCGAAACATGAGGTTGGAAAATAAAATTTTCTTAAAATACTAAAGAAAGAAAGTGCCCCAACAAAAGTTGAAAATTTGGTAAGATATTGAAAAATTGAGCTTTCAGAAAAGTTGCCTAAAAATCTAGAAACAATTTTAGGAGATAGATCCCAATGCGCTGAATGTAAAAAATAGCCAAGACTACAATTTTCAAAATTTTCGGCTTGAAAGTCATTTTTTAAAAATTCTAAAAATTGTCATATTTCATATTGGCGATTCTGGTAAAATCGTTGGAATTTTCGAAAGAATGAAAACGAAAATAACTTCTGGAGGTCAAAATCTACCAACAAATCTAATCTCAGCAATTTTGGGAAATCCAAAAACATAGCCTGGACTACGATAAACATGAGGTTTGAAAATGAAATTTTCTTAAAATCCTTAAGAATGCCATATTTCCATTGGCGATTATGGAAAAACGATTGGAATTTTTGAAGAAATGAAACCAAAAATGACTTCTGAAGGTCGAAATGTACAAAAAATGTCCTGGAAATTTTCGAAAGTCCCCGGACAAAAGTTGAAAATTTGGTAAGATATCGAAAAATTGAGCTTTCAGAAAAGTTGTCTAAAAATTTATAAAAAAACTTTGGGAGATAGATTCCAACGCGTTGATCACGATTTTCAAAATTTTCGCTTTGAAACTCATTTTTCAAAAATTCTAAAAATTATCATATTTCATGTTAACTCTGGCAAAATAGTTAGAATTTACAAAGGAATTGAAACGAAAATAACTTCTGGAAATCTAAATCTACCAACAAATCTCAACAATTTTGGGAAATCCAAAAACATAGCCTGGACTACGATTTTCGAAACATGAGATTGGAAAATAAAATTTTCTTAAAATCCTAAAGAAAGAAAGTGCCCCAACAAAAGTTGAAAATTTGGTAAGATATTGAAAAATTGAGCTTTCAGAAAAGTTGCCTAAAAATCTATAAACAATTTTAGGAGATAGATCCCAATGCGTTGAATGTAAAAATAGCCTTTATTGATGGTCCCAGACTACAATTTTCAAAATTTTCGGTTTGAAAGTCATTTTTTAAAAATTCTAAAAATTGTCATATTTCATATTGACGGTTCTGGTAAAATGGTTAGAATTTTCGAAAGAATGAAAACGAAAATAACTTGTGGAGGTTAAAATCTACCAACAAATCTAATCTCAGCAATTTTGGGAAATCCAAAAACATAGCCTGGACTACAATAAACATGAGGTTTGAAAATGAAATTTTCTTAAAATCCTTAAGAATGCCATATTTCCATTGGCGATTATGGAAAAACGATTGGAATTTTTGAAGAAATGAAACCAAAAATGACTTCTGAAGGTCTAAATCTACAAAAAATGTCTTGGAAATTTTCGAAAGTCCCCGGACAAAAGTTGAAAATTTGGTAAGATATTGAAAAATTGAGCTTTCAGAAAAGTTGTCTAAAAATTTATAAAAGACTTTGGGAGATAGATTCCAACGCGCTGATCACGATTTTCAAAATTTTCGCTTTGATACTCATTTTTCAAAAATTCTAAAAGTTATCATATTTCATGTTAACTTTGGCAAAATGGTTAGAAGGTACAAAGGAATGAAAACGAAAATAACTTCTGGAAATCTAAATCTACCAAGAAATCTCAACAATTTTGGGAAATCCAAAAACATAGCCTGGACTACGATTTTCGAAACATGAGGTTGGAAAATAAAATTTTCTTAAAATCCTAAAGAAAGAAAGTGCCTCAACAAAAGTTGAAAATTTAGTAAGATATTGAAAAATTGAGCTTTCAGAAAAGTTGCCTAAAAATCTATAAACAATTTTAGGAGATAGATCCCAATGCGCTGAATGTAAAAATAGCCTTTATTGATGGTCCCAGACTACAGTTTTCAAAATTTTCGGTTTGAAAGTCATTTTTTTAAAATTCTAAAAATTGTCGTATTTCATATTGGCAATTCTGGTAAAATGGTTAGAATTTTCGAATGTATGAAAACGAAAATAACTTCTGGAGGTCAAAATCTACCAACAAATCTAATGTCAGCAATTTTGGGAAATCCAAAAACATAGCCTGGACTACGATAAACATGAGGTTTGAAAATGAAATTTTCTTAAAATCCTAAAGAATGGCATATTTCCGTTGGCGATTTTGGAAAAACGATTGGAATTTTTGAAGAAATGAAACTGAAAATAACTTCTGAAGGTCTAAATCTACAAAAAATGTCTTGGAAATTTTCGAAAGTCCCCGGACAAATTTGAAAATTTGGTAAGATATCGAAAAATTGAGCTTTCAGAAAGTTGCCTAAAAGTTTATAAAAAACTTTGGGAGATAGACTTCAACGCGCTGATCACCATTTTCAAAATTTTCGCTTTGAAACTCATTTTTCAAAAATTCTAAAAATTATCATATTTCATGTTAACTCTGGCAAAATGGTTAGAATTTACAAAGGTATGAAAACGAAAATAACTTCTGGAAATATAAATCTACCAACAAATCTCAACAATTTTGAGAAATCCAAAAACATAGCTTGGATACGATTTTCGAAACATGAGGTTGGAATATAAGATATTGAAAAATTGAGCTTTCAGAAAAGTTGCCTAAAAATCTATAAATAATTTTAGGAGATAGATCCCAATGCGCTGAATGTAAAAATAGCCATTATTGATGGTCCCAGACTACAATTTTCAAAATTTTCGGTTTGAAAGTCATTTTTTAAAAATTCTAAAAATTGTCATATTTCATGTTAACTCTGGCAAAATGGTTAGAATTTACAAAGGAATGAAAACGAAAATAACTTCTGGAAATCTAAATTTACCAACAAATCTCAACAATTTTGGGAAATCCAAAAACATAGCCTGGACTACGATTTTCGAAATATGAGGCTGGAAAATAAAATTTTCTTAAAATCCTAAAGAAAGAAAGTACCTCAACAAAAGTTGAAAATTTGCTAAGATATTAAAAAATTGAGCTTTCAGAAAAGTTGCCTAAAAATCTAGAAACAATTTTAGTAGATAGATCCCAATGCGCTGAATGTAAAAATAGCCTTTTTCTACTCATTAAGGTTGAAGTTTGTCATTTTCCCATCGCTGGCAGTGGATGAAATTTCATTTCACCCTCTAGTGGAAAAATACTCGGCCGTCTACGATTTTAACGGGTCGTCCAGCCTGAGCGTTTCGCAGCTAGCGAAACGTGTCGCGTATCGCCTGCACCGACCGCACCGTCCGCTTCGCGCGCTTCGAAAATCATGACGCCTAGGCTGGACGACCCGTTAGTGTTTGACGCACGGTGGTAGAAGTAAGGTGTGGAAACAAGCCGCTCCAATTTGTTGAATAAAACACGCATCCCAGTAGGCTTATTTACTACGAAATAGTATGCAGCACAGTATGTCCATCTATGTATTAACATTTCAACTTGTCAGTGTATTTATGAATGAATTAAGTGACAGATTCGTTGGAGGGAAAATAAATCACAGCACAACGGTTTGTGGTTGGTCCTTGGTGTGAATCGTGTGATTGGTGGATGATTCGACATTTGTGATTGGGTAATAAATGACATTGGCATAAATGTAAAAGATTTAATGCAGTTTTCTATTACTTAATTTCAACTGATCTCTCTAGACGTCGCTGCGGTGTGGACAGCGAATGACATATAATCCAAACCACGCGATTTGTGTTTTCTACCAATGATTTTGAGGAAAGTTATGAATGAGGTTTCCACACCTTACTTCTACCACCGTGGTTTGACGTTTAATACTGCTAGTTTACACAAGTGAAAACAATGAACATGAGTGAGACTGACGAAGT